CTAGCCCGCCTAGTACGTGGCAGCCAGTCGCTGAAAGAGATAATCGCCACTCGTGATGCCCTCGTACTTTTTGTCCGCCTCGTCGGCGTACGTCCCCGGCATGGCCTCAATCAGCTTGTCGGCATTTGGGTTGCAAAAGTAGGCGACACTGTAGCGCGGTGGGTAGACGACGTCGTCATTGTCGTTGTCGTGCGGGGGCTCGACGACACGGTGAATGGTGCTCTTGATGGTGTCGTTGCTCCAGCGCGCGAGGAGGTCGCCGGCGTTGACGACAATGGTGTCGGGAATGGGCGTGGCGTCGACAAACTTGCCCGACGGCGAGCGAACTTGCAGGCCGCCGCGGTCATCCTGAAAGAGCAGCGTGACGGAGCCATAGTCCTGTGTTTGGGGTTTGTTCATGTTAATTGAAAGCTGTATACGTGACTTTGAGCGAGGCAAAGGGGGTTGGTTTCGATCTTACAGTGTGTTCGCCGGCACGGAGTTGGCCGACTTTATTTTTAAAGACGTTTGCCTTGACCTGTGGGTAATGGAGCAATCGGAGGGTATTGTCCGCGCAGTCGACGAAGCCATCAAAGTGCGTCTCGTCAAGCCCGAGGCCCATGGCGATGGCCCTCATGACCTGCACGTGCAGCTCCTGGCACATTTCGAAAAAGGCCATCATTTCCTCGCGGAACCCATCCACCTTGCCTTGTGCCGGCCAGTGGTTCCGAAAGTCCTCGTGCGGCTCGCGGCCAATCTCGAAGCTCTCCTTGAGGTCCGCGGCCCCCTCCGCCGCCGCAGAAGAAGAAGAAGCAGCGCCGCGTCCGCCATCCTCGGGCGGCGAAATGACGAGCTTCTCGCGGCCCTGGCAAAGATACCCGCGGTTGGCGGCGGCGTCGGTCAGACGCAGCCCTTCCTTGTCGGCGGCCGGCTGGGCGAAAAAGGCGGCGGAGCGCGCAAAGACGGCGGCGACGGCGGCGGGCGGGATGGCGTGGCGCACGAGGTAGACGAAGCCGGCGGTCTGGAAGCCGTGTAGGACGGCGCGGGCGGTGGAGGCGCGCTCGGCGGGAGAGCCGTGGAGGAAGAGGGAAAAGTCAATGAGCTATGAGGCAGGATGTGAGTTTGAGGGGCGGCGAGGAAGGGGGGGGTTTGGTGTTGGGGGAGGAGAGACGGTACCGGGATGACGAGCCCTTGGTCCTGAACGGCAGCCTCAGCACTCATGATGAGATTAAATGGTAGAATTATAAAGAAGCGATTTTATTAGAGTAAACTGAAAGGTTAGTGCAGATTTAGCATGGTGTTTTGTTGTATCGTAATTCTGGCTGCCATGATGTAGTACCAGATGGGCTTCATCAGCCACCATCCCTCTCAGTTATCAAGCGGCCAGACCAGAATAGGAACTGTCAGGTATCTCGTTGATGTCACCCAAGATAACAAAATCGAGTGCTGGGTTGTTCAAAGATTGACAATCCAATCCCACGCACTGGCTTGCTGGAATGGGGGGTGAACGGGGTCAGCCAATCCACTGGAGGGCGATCCGAACCCACCAAAAGCCCGCTCCTCCTGTGGAGGAGGGGCAAGAGGGGTAGGTACATGATAATGAACACCAAACCCATAGATACGTATCTAGTGACAGCTTCTTGGCAGCAGTCAATACGACAACGGCAAATGGGCAAACACGCCGTCGGCTGCGGGCAGCGTCGGACATGGCCGACAGGATTCGTGGGGACCAACTTTTTGCTTCTTGACATCACAAGTACCTGCAACACAACTAGCTCTGCATGGCTAGTGGCAATAGTCACACGCATTAATGATGCTTGACATGCGACGAAAATGGTGGTTTGCATCCTTTTTTTCTGGATAAGAGAGGAGGGCGGGGAAGAAGACGCTTCTGCAGTGATACACATCAATAAAGATTCAATTAGCTCCATAATAGCCCCCCATCGCCGATAGACCCCTCTCCTGTACCTCCACCGTATCTCGGCTGATCAACGAGTGGGGGGAAACGCCTCGTTCACCACCATCACATCACCACCACCACCACCACCACCATCATGAAATTTGCTCTTATCTACATTTTCTACTCACAAATCCTTTTCTCTCAAGCCTTCAATCCAGGTTTCCTTCAGTCAGAAACAACGTCGCACCAATCCTCGACAGTCGCCATGGCGGCCGCAAACCCCGTCGTGGACATCCACACTCACATGTACCCGCCCTCCTACATCGCCATGCTCGAGAAGCGCGACACCATCCCACTCGTCAGAAATTTTCCCCAAGCCGACGAGCCGCGACTCATTCTCCTATCCTCTGAGCTCGACTCCCTTGATGCCGCGCTGAAAGACCCCACCGCCAAGCTCCCTGGCCGACCACTGAGCACGCACTTTGCCTCGCTGGCCCAAAAGATACACTTCATGGACACCAACGGCATCAACGTCTCCGTCATCTCCCTCGCCAACCCCTGGTTTGACTTTTTGGATCCGTCCGAGGCGGCAGGCATCGCCGACTCTGTCAATGCGGAATTTTCACAAATGTGCACGCAGCACGTCGGTCGCCTCTTCTTCTTTGCTGCCCTTCCGCTGAGCGCCCCCGTAGACGCCATCAAGGCCTCCATCGAGCATGTCAGGAACCTCAAATACTGCCGCGGTATTATCCTGGGCACCTCTGGTCTTGGCAAGGGCCTCGATGACCCCAACCTTTTGCCTATTTTCAAGGCGGTGGCCGATGCCAATCTGCTCGTCTTTCTGCATCCGCATTACGGCCTGCCCAATGAAGTATACGGTCCCCGTGGCGAGGAATATGGTCACGTTCTTCCTCTGGCGCTTGGTTTTCCCATGGAGACCACGATTGCTGTGGCTCGCATGTACATGGCTGGCGTCTTTGACCAGGTATGCAACCTCCAGATGCTCCTGGCTCACAGCGGCGGCACGCTGCCGTTCCTTGCCGGCCGCATTGAGAGCTGCATTATCCATGACGGACACCTGGTCAAAACAGGCAAGGTTCCCAAGGACCGCCGCACCATCTGGACGGTGCTCAAGGAGCAGATATATCTCGATGCCGTAATTTACTCTGAAGTTGGACTCCAGGCCGCGATTGCATCCAGTGGGGCAGATAGACTCATGTTTGGCACAGACCATCCCTTCTTCCCGCCAATTCAAGGAGACGAACAGGGCCCTTGGGATAGCTCCCGACTGAATGCCCAGGCCGTCAACAAAGCCGTTGGACAAGGCTCTGGCGCCGCGGCTGCCATCATGGGTTTAAACGCCGTCCGTGTGTTGAATCTCGAGGCCGAGTAGCTAGTCGTTGTTCTTGTGTTTGGGAAAAAGAACCAAAAGATATCTCAAGATGTTCCGATTTCGCGCTGATACGCTAGTTCTGCGTCGTATATCCGCTGCTTGGCCGTAGACATGGTTTGCTGTAGACCTTGCATTGTGTCATCCTGCATGTCTGGTCCGTTTCCCATTTGATCCATATCGGTCAGTGCCTGTCGAGCTCTAAGCTTCTCGCAGACGAGTTCCCAGTACATTTTCCGTTGGCCATCTATCTCGACGGCATAGTCCCCCGGTACATCAACAGCACCATTCGCGGGACCCTTTTCCTGCTTCTTATACAAAGAGCTAGACTTCATCCGCTCCTTGGCCTCCTTGCGCTTCGCCTTTTCCTCCTTCCTCTCCTTGAGGCGGCGGCGTGCCTCCGCCATGTCGTCCATCTCCTGCGCCGCAGCCGCCTGCCGAGAATTCTCCTCGTCCCGCATGCGCTGCAGCTCCGCCAGCCTCTCACGCTCCTTTTGCAGCATCTCCGTGTCCTTTTGCTGCTTGGCTTGCTGCTGCTGGCGCGCGGCATTCTCTGCGGCCTCGAGGTCGTCGGCGAAGCGCTGGCGCTCCTTGTCCATGGCCGCGCGCTCCTGCTTCCGCAGCAGCTTGGCCTTCATGGCCGCATCGTACGTGGCGCGGGCATTGTCGTCGGAGAGAATGTCGCGCGCGCGCTCAAAGAGCTCCCACTTCTCCGGGTCAAACTTGTCCCCGGCCTTGTCGGGGTGGTATGCGAGGGAGCGCTTGCGCCAGGCGCGGCGAATGTCATCTTTAGACGTGAGAGCGTCTACGCCGAGGAGATCGTAGAGGTCGACATTCTTTTCGGCATACTCGGCTGCAAACCGCAGCGCATCTTTGTTGTCGTCGCTCATAATTCAGCAATGGAAAACTCTTCAGAAAGGACGGCCGGTAGGGGTAACGATTTCGATTGCAGGCTCAAAAAGCTCCTCAATAACCCCGCACAGACCTCCCGCAGTACCGTGTATGATTTGCGGTGCAGATCTGTCTCTTGCGTCGTGGATGTTGTGTCGAACCAATGCTGGATGCCGCAAACACTGACCTTGTAGTTGCCTGCACGTGACGCTGTTGCGCTGAAGGTCTGGCAATCCGCAGGGGCCTTGGGGCGCCACCGTTCAGGCAGCAGCTCCACTGCGCGATCTCATCTTCAACATGCAAGTGTTGGGGCGGCTGTGTGAAATTTTGCAAGAGAATATCAGTCAAATCTGCGAGGAATCTCTTATTCGTTTCAAGCGATAGTGCATATTAGCCCATGCCCTAAAACAAGGCTCTCGGACGTAGCACTGCGGCCAAGAACGGCAAGATGTGCTACCCCACTCCAGATCACAGGCACCTCCTCTTACACCACCTCCTCTTATAACCTTTGCAGCCCGATTTTCATCATGACATGCAGAGAGAAACAAAACAGAGAGAAAAAACATCTCAGAATGACAGCATACAATTCGAGACGGGCCTTTTATGGCACTGTCATCCACTCCAAAAGCCCAAGAGAAATCGCCATCCTCGAGAATGCCTTGCTAGTGGTAGTTGACCGCGGCATAATCGCTTTCCTCGAGGATGGCATTCCACGTGATAGAGTCTCCGAGAAGATCAAGGCGCTCAATACTTCCGAAATTATCGTGACTGAGTTGAAGAAAGGACAGTTCATCATGCCGGGCTTCGTCGATACGCATAATCATGCACCGCAGTGGCTTCATCGCGGGCAGGGCCAAGGTCTCCATATTCTCGAATGGCTCAATCATGTTGCTTTTCGCAACGAGTCACTCTTCAAAGACACAAGTCACGCGAGAAGAGTATATCCCATGGTCGTCGAGGGCATGCTCCGCCAAGGCGTCACCACTGCGAGCTACTACGGTTCACTTCATGGCGAGGCTACGAGGATTCTCGCAGATGTGTGCTTGGAAAAGGGCCAGCGTGCGCTGGTGGGAAAGTGCAACATGGCTCGCAACGCTCCAGATTTCTACGTTGATGCTAGCATCGAGGAGTCGCTCCAAGTGACACGCGACTGCATACGACACATCAAGAACCTCGACCCCAAAGGCGAGCTCCTTCGGCACGTCCTGACGCCGCGCTTCGCTATATGCTGCGACGAGTCTCTGCTCAAAGGCCTCGGAGAAATCGCCCAGGAGAACCCAACAATGGCCATCCAGACACACTTCAACGAGTCCGAGCAAGAAAAGAACTTTACCATGTCCTTGTTTCCGCAGTTTACCAACGAGGCCGACCTGTACGAAAAGTTCAAGCTACTCAATGAACGCTCCATTCTTGCCCACTGCACTATCATGACACCCTACGAGACGCAAAGGCTGCAGGATCTGAAATGCGGTGTCGCGCATTGCCCAACCTCCAACATGACGGTCGGCGGAGGCTTCATGGCCGCGTCCATCAAGGACTTTTTAAACCGCGGCATGAAAGTCGGCCTGGGTACAGACTCTGGCGGCGGCTACTCTATTTCCATGCTTAATGCCATGCGCCACTGTTTAGTCAACTCGTTTGCTCGTGATTTTCTCGATGCGCGTGACGGCGGTTCTGCAGTCACGATGGAGGAGGCATTTCACATGGCTACAATTGGTGGTGCTCGCGTTGTCGGTTTTGGGAACGAGATTGGCGATTTCCAAGTTGGAAAACAATTTGACGCGCTCCTGGTTGATATGACTGACGCAAGCTGCAGCGTCACCGCGCCACTGGAGCAAGACGATACTATGCGAACGTTGCTAGAGAAGTTTATCATGACAGGCGATGATCGAAACATAGCCCGAGTCTACGTCCGGGGACGACTTGTCCATGGCTGCTAGCCTTGCTCCTCGAAACCGTGCAGCTAATACGATCTGTGTACATAAATTGGTGAACAGTAAGAATTCAACACTGCTTAGGATCTGTACGTCTGTACAGCTATTGATACGACGTCGACGCTCCGTGGCACTTAACATCTCGCCCGCGAAAGCACATGGGCATGAATCCATCTGATCAAGGGGTGGCCAAGTAAGACCGGCTTATCTACAGCCACCAGTTTCTGTTTTCAATACAAGTAGAAGACAACACAAAAAAAGATCGACCGCTGAAACAATACAACAGATGGGTATATCGTCCGGGAGTGAGCCGCTTGGTGGTGTATCATTTCGCCGCCGGCATGTCCGTCTCCGTCTCTGAATCTTGCTCTCGTCCCTCATTTCGCGACACCCTGTCACGCATGTCTTTCCCCTCTGCGAAAACATACACATTGGGCGTGCCGCCCACTTGGTTCAGCAGAAAGCGCTCGTACGGGCCCAGCGGCTCCTCCACGAGCACCCTCTGCCTCTTCTCGGTCGGCGCCTGCTCCTCCGGGCCCGCATACTCCCATATCCAGCGCTCTCCTTCTTCTTCATTAGGCTTGCGGCCCCATTCTTCCGCCGCAGTCGCCGCCGCCACCGGGACCTTTTCGTGGTTGGCCGGGTCCCAGAGCGGATCGCGCGGGACGGGATCCGCGAACCGCGTCGTCGTCCGGCGCAGCCGCCAAGCAGTCAGCGTCGGCGCCGTCCAGTCCCCGTCGTCGTTTATTCCCAAGCCACGGCACGCGAGGCGGACGCGCGCGGAGCTGTGGATGCGCTCGTTGGTGTCGAGCAGGAACGGCCCGTGCCGGCTGTCGCCCGTGGCCGGGTCGATGCGGCGGTACTGGCCCGGCGTGCGCGCGGTTTTGCCGGTGATCCAGTCGATGGCGCTCGGGGGCTTCTGCAGCGCGCCCATGGACCAGGGACGGACGGGCGCGTTGGCGTCAAAGATGGTGCCGACGGCCCATTGCGGTGGTGCTTTGCGGGTGCGAGCGGCGACCTGCTCGGCCTTGATTTCGTACTGCTGGAGCTGCTGCGAAATCATGCGCAGAACGGACGGTGCGAAGAATTCTACGCCGACCGAGGCCATCTGATCCATCATCCCTGTGTTGCTGTTAGGGTGGGAGACAAATGTCCCCGGTTGGGGGGGGGAGTCCGACTTACAAGTCAGTGTGATATTCGCCATGCCGACATCTTCAACACCGCCCCCGCAGTTTCCGTGTGTGCCGGGAAACCAAACTTGTCGCAGATCGGTTGTTAGTTTGTTCTCGGGCCGTCGTTCCCATACTGCGGGTGTGTATGGAGATCTGCTCTCGTCTAGGGCCAAAGCCTGAAAGGCGTGCTCAATGCGGTCGGAGAGGTCTGTATCATGCCACTTGAACGTGGAAAATGTCAGTCTAGCATCTCCCAACAGAGGTACATTTCAGGGAGAACTTATTCGTTATTGGCAGCTCGAATGCCGAGTGCGTCTAGCCATCCGATCCTGGGGATGCCGAGGCTGCCCACGGTATCCCAAACACCAATGGCCTTGACCTTGATGAGCTCACCGCTCGCCTGATTTACACGTGTAAGGCCCATCTTCTCGAGTCTTTGACGGTAAATGTCTGCGGCGTCATCGCCTTTGGGCTTGTCTGGAAAGGGCGTTTTGGGAAATGGGTCATTATACGCGGCGTCCTTCCAATGCTGCATATCCTTGAAGACGGGCACAAACGAGTCCATGCCTTCTCGGGTGAGCAATCCCAGCTTGCCAATAATTCCAGCGACGGACCGTACTGTAAAGGCACCGCGAGACCATCCAAGGAGTATAATCTCATCGCCGTCCGCATAGTTGGCGCAGAGAAAGGCGTACGCTTCACGAACACGCTGCGCAAAGTAGGAATAGACATTAGGAGGCGCAACTCTCTCTCGAGACGGAATTGATCAAGCGACACATACCTGTGTTAATCCTAGGCCGAAAGCACCGCCAGTGAGCGTATCTATTGTGTTGCTGCCGGTGCCCACGCCCGACTCGTAGTTGATGATTTGCAGAGTGCCGTCGCTGCAGCGGCGCTTGAAGCAGCGCGAGATGCGAGTCACGTTGGAGGCCACTTGCACAGTGGCGCCGTTTTTGCTCGTTGCCTTGTTGAAGCCATCGTCGCTGTCGAACCACGTACCGTCGCAGCATAGAATGATTCTCTTCTTGGGGCCCTTGTCAGGCGTTGGCTGCTCACTCGTAGATGACATATTTTTTATGCGCATGTACGACGAATGAATCAAAAGGTTGGCGTCGCGAGAGAAAGAGTTTGTTCAACTACAAAAGACTTGAACTAGTGAAGCTTATCAAAGGAAACCCTCTTTCAATGTAATCATGGAAGCAAGACCTCGGCTACACAGAGCTTCACCCACTTGCGCTTATATATGCTCAATCCAGATTGATTCGTCTTTGCCATCACATACTAAAACGAACAACGGTCACCAGGCCACACTTTGATCTCTGCTTTCGGAGACTATTCTCGCAAGCCTCGAAAGACAGTGCCCTGACAAGAAACGGACCCTTGTTGGAGTGCATTACCGCTCGTCCAATGAGCTAATGAGGCGCAAGCACGCCACCCCCGATGCCCTCGACGATCTCACGCCCGACAGAGCCTGCCCAAGGTGTGTGTAAATAAATGCCTTGCAGCTGCTGTCAGGGGTATGCATGTACAATCATGCAGAATTTGTGCAGCCCCCTTTTTTTTTGCTAAGAGGACGCAAAGAACAATGGGCTGGTTGTGTTGCGTCCTTGACCCAGTTTACAAGCTTCCAGATGATCTCGGCCGGCGCCCTAACCCGTCCGTCAAGTTAGTTTTTTGCCACCCTTTCATCTGGGTGGTGAGCAAAAAGCAAACTTAAGATCTATGCAAAGTAAATGACAGGATCAGGCTGGATTCAGCTTTGCATCGGAGGTTGCCTGGAGTGGCAGTGACTTTAGAGTTATGCCTTGCTTATGCGACGCCTGAAGACAGCCCAACGAATAGGGGGCGGAGGGGATGCTACAGCGAGCCTTGGCTGGCACGGCGTACCTTAGGATGCGTTTTACAAAGGGTTGCGATGTAACGAAACGATTCTGTGCTCCCTGCCGGACTCGCTGCTCCGGATCATATTTCCGTGGGGAGAATGCGCCCCCCCCCCCCGCCCCCCCCCCCCGGGCAAAGGCAGGTGCATGACGCATTGCCGATTCTCCTGCCGGCGCGCACCGGCTACGCATGTCCGCGGTGAAGACAAGCTGCTTTCTACGTCATTGTACAGACAGCAAGCCTCACTTTTGTGCCGACATTTCAAAGGCACCACTGCTGCAAAGGCCTTTGTTCGACTGCTCAAATGTGCGCAAGGCTGTGATTCTGGCCGTGGCTCAGCTGCCAAGCATGGGCGCGTCGCTCTGCGCAGTCTTGTCCTCTTCTTGAAATTTGATACTGAAAACAAGATGTCGGTAATAGAGCGGCTGAAATTTATTGACCGTGCTGACTATGGCTTGCAGCTGTGGCCATGCAGTCAAATCGACTGTGGCCGTGCCACTTTTGTGCTGACCATTCAGGTTGGACTATTTCGGGAATCCTTATGCATGACGGAGCTGAAGGTAGAAAGAACAATCTTCGAGATCACTTGATCATGCATCACAACTGCAGGAGCAGTCGGTGGGTGGAGTCGCCTGCAAAACACCAAAGCGGCTTCTCAGGATAATTAAGAACATGTCGAGAATTGACTCGGCATCGCATGGATATGTGCTCAGAAATACAGACGCATACTTAAAAAATTGTACATGGTAATCTTGTTCTGGCTGTGCATCAAGTTCTCAGTGATGAGACACCTTGTTAATGGTGAACAGCAGTGCAGTGCTTGCCTCTGGTGATAGAATATTGAACGGCATCAATTTCTTCACCGCCGTGTGGCAAGTCATGTTATGCTTAGAATGTTTTCAGGGTGCTAACAAAACTGCAAACGAACACAGTTTAGCTTTTCCTTTGTCAAGATCAAGATCTTTCCTTCATCAAGTTCACAAAAGTCAAAATGGAGCTTGACGCAGAAGTTAACCGTATCGACCTTGATATTCTAATGGCTAAGAACCCTACGCAATTCGGCTATCATCACGGTAAGAGTTCGAATGAAGGAGCTTCTCAAGGTAGTTCATTACTAACAATACAAGGTCCGATCTTTCCAGGCGAGAATCTCGCCATTTCGAGCATGAACACGCAAGTCTGCGATGTCGTCGTCGATGCTCACGGCACAATGTGCGGAAAGACTTTCGGAGACAATACCAGAGTGATTACTCTCCCCTTCCATCTACACAGGTTTGCAAGAAAAATACTAAAACACTGCTCATGAATAGCTGTATCGACATATCCGCGAGCAACACTTCGAATTTGGTATTACCACTCCAGGTAAAGTCAGAGCCAGACCGGATGAAAAGAGAGTCGGTAGGAAGTGAGCACCTTTCAGACCCTCAACTACAGTCGTTTGGCGCTTTCGCTTCCATTCTAATTTCTGTGCAACGCAGTACCATTCAGCGATGGGTTTTGGGAGGCGGCTGGCGACAAGCGCGCTACTTCAACGAACCCCGAACACTGCATCCAGACTCGCTCATCATGCAATACGCCAACTCTTTTGAGTTGCTAGCGTAGGTTGCCTCTCCTGTGTCATGACAACGAGAGACTGTTACTAACAGAATACTTTCAGACAGCGTTCTGTGGACTTCAGAGACTTGTTTGGGTCCGAATTCCATCGCCCAGAAATGGCGTGGTCGCGTGCGCGTCAGCCACCACTGTTCACCGCCCAGCTGTGATGCCAGCGAGCAAGAGAGCTCGTCCGACGCCCAGGTCTAACGGAAGAGACTATTCGTTGACGGCAGATGTGACGGTTTTGAAGTCCAGAGATACCCTGAGAGAGAACACCGAGCGGGTATGGAAGCCGCCAGGGGCCAAGAGCTTGCTATTACGTTGGACGCGTCTCTATAGACAGTATGCAGTATTTTACAGAACAATGGTGTACACAGTCATCTACCTCTTCTGTCCCTCTTCCATGCTGGCGCGCAACCAGTCAGGCACAAATGCCTTGACCTTGACGCTGCTCTTGACATCATCCTCCCCTCCCCACTCGAGCACAAACTCGTCGTCCGGCTTGTACGTCGCGGCCGCCTGCTCGCCCGGCAACACCACGTCCGTCATAATCTCTAGCCGGCACAGCCCCAGCCCGATGTTGCCCACGCCTCTGAGCCACTTGCCCGCGCTGCGTCCGCGCTTTTCAAACCGTCCGATGCTCGTCTCGGCGGGCACCGCGGCCGCGCCGCCCACCACCGACGCCACGCTGTCGGGCTGGTATGCGAGCGTCTGCGGCGCCGGCCGGTCCGCGTCGTACACCATGCACGGCAGGATGCGCTTGCGGACGACGCCGCGGTGCTTGGTGCGAATGGTCAGCTCCTGGCCGACGTAGCAGCCCTTGTGGAAGTCGACGCCGTGCATGTGCTCCATGTTGCTCTCGAGCGGCAGCGCCTGCTCCCGCAGCAACTCCTCCTGACCCTCGGGCACGCCCTGCAGGTACCGGCGGATAGTGTAGGCGTCCTCAGAAGCGCGCTCCACACCGATAATGTCCGGTGCGCCGCCGTCGCCGCCGCCGAGCTGCAGAATGCGGTGTCCCATGGCCGGCGCGCGAGGGTCGCGCAGCGTGATGACGCGGCTGTCGGCGCCGGACGGCAGGCTCAGCGTGTCGATGCCGCCGTTGTCATCCCAGGCCTGCCAGACGGATACTTCGTCGGGGGCCAGGCTGCGCACGCTGACCTTGGCGCGCAGCTTGTAGCGCTTAATATACTTTTCTAGCCGGGCCGTCTGCGAGGCGTCGGCCTCGACGAGGAAGCCGTCGTCGCTGCCGAGGAGGCTACCGCCGCCGCCGCGAAAAGGGTATATAAAAGTATCGTGCATGACGCGGCCCGTGGCGTTGAGGAAGCCGGCGTAGAATCCTTCGATCCGTGGCTCTGATGGAGTAGTCGTCGTCGTCGTCGTAGTCGTCGCTTGCTGATGACGGCCGTTTCCTGGTGCGGCGGCGGCAACGTTTTGCGTGACGATGCCCTGTAGGAATTTGGTGGCGTCGGCTCCGGCCACGGCGAGGACGCGTCGTGATGAGAGCTCGGCCAGGCCCGCGGCGGGCGGCCTGGGCGGCGCCGAGGAGGCCGTCGTGGCCAGCCGTCGGCGACAAGAGCGGCAGACGCCAGCGTTGGAGGAGGAGGAGGCGTTTGGTCGCCGCAGGAGCGCGCCACGCGCGAGCGGAGGAGGCATGGCCAGTATTAGATCAGTACAACTGATAGTAATTCGAAAAGGCGGCGGGTGCGGAGAAAGCTAGTCGCGTGTTGGTGTCGGACTTTTTTTTTTCCCCTTTGTCGATAAAGCTGAAACTATCGGAGAAAGGGAGACGGATGCCAGGTTGCAGTGAGAGCTTTTTTTTGCGGAGCTTCCAGAAGCTCGGGGCCTGCGGATTTAGGCGTTGACAGCCCCCATGTGCGGAGGTCCGCCGCTAAGAGCCTTCAAATCCGCATCTCTCGACGCCGCCACGCCGCCTCGTTGGTAATCCCCGAACCCGAGGAGACGGGACAGTGGTGTCCGTCAGATTTAGTACACATTCGTTTCGAGCGTGGTCACTGAAAGCCCCGGCGATTACGTTGGCCGAAGTTAGTGGCTGGATTAGCAACGTTTGGCAACCGCCAGGGACTTGATCACACTAGGCGGACGCAGAGCATTGGCAGAAGTCTATGACGTTGGCTCTTCGACAAGCTACAATATCACCAGGGCACATAAACACTGCCGCGGCCAAGGTCTTGGGCCGCCAACTACCAAGTATTGGGTCGCACGGGTCGATGTCGAGTCGAGGGAAACAATATAAGAATCCAGGGATCTTGCAGGTGTCGTCGAGCAACGATCCGCGATCTCTGGGTGTAGCGGGGTTGCATATGCATCGATGCGTATTGGCGGCCAGTCGTGAGGCGCGCGGAGGCTGATGCGGACATTATACCATGCACAATTAGACTCGATGACGTTTTTTCTTGAATTACATCAACGGCACTCTCTGCCAACTGCGTGCCTGTGTGCCTGTGCCATCATGGTCGCTGGGTAGGGGGCGACGGGGACCCTGCATCTCACCAGGAGAACATGATGTCAAGATGATACGGGCCCGGCAACCCGGCTCAGAGATTTGGCCAAGTCGCAGATAAGTACGTGTCACGACTTTGGCTGGGCACAACGGTACAGGCTTGAGTGCTGACAACAGTACGCATCATGAGAGAGCGCGCATGGGCCAATCATTGGCTACGGCCACGCCCTATCTGATTACGCCTGTCTATCAATCATGCTAGACGCGATGCATACGTAGGCCGGGTTGTCAAGAGTCCTCGGCCGGTGAGCCGGTTATCAACACGTACGCAAGGACGAATTTGGGAGCCCGAGGGTTGCGTGCCTCTGGTGTCGGCGCCCTTGGGTTTTCAAGGCTTGCAAACTGTCCTTTATCAGATGGACGGGTTGACGGGGTTATTAGGCTTGGCTACAGACTCGGTTGTGGCTGTGTTTTGGGCCTGATGCCTGTTCCTCCCAGGGCCCAAGCTGCCAAGCGGCCAAGGGGTGGAATATTATACGCCAATGCGGGCATCATACGCGTAATAATAACTGCGTAATTAGAGAATGCGAGGGAGGAAAAGAGGACAGCTCACGAGTTCCACGATGCAAAGGTGCCGAATGCGAGAACCAATTAATTAGCCGGACGCGCGCCGGCGCCGGGGGGTGTGACAAGGCACCGGTCGGTGCCTGGCGAGCGGGTGCGGAGTCCTGCGCCGTTGGGCAGCGGACAGCATTCGAACCCCCGTCGGGGCGCGGCAGATGATGCTGGGCTGTAAATGGAAAGCGCTGGACGCGTTCAGAAGCATCGAAGCGAACAGCCAACTTGCCAACGTAGCAATGTATGCTTCCGGTGAATTGCATGTGAAGGACGGGTTGTGGTGGAGATTTTTGTTGAGATTCGACATGAAGCGATGAGTGGCATGTTTCACAATCACGAGCCAAAGTTTAAAAAAGAAGTATTGGGTGCCTAGAAGGCATCTACACAACCACGACCCCTCCAAGATGCGGCATCTAGATTCCGGCCAAGATGGGCCCCGTCCGGCATAGCAGCCTGGTATCATAATGCTGTTGTTATTACTAGGGTTAGAAGTACCGGAAGAGGCAAGAGTAAAAATTCTCTTCTCTAATGCGACGAGATGCATTATGCAAGCAAGCGAAAAAAAAAAGAGGAGTTCCTATTTTTTCGCAATGTTGCGGTCAGACTCACGGCGACACCTTGTGCCGGTAGCCGGTAACATTGCGGATGTGATGCAGGGATAAAAGGCTTCTGGCCCCATGAGCTCGACTCAGAATTGTGTTGCCTGTCCCGCCATTTTTTTTCCTTGCTGTATTGTTGCCTATTGCTAGGATCATGACAAGAAGCCCCAGTTGGGTGAAGGAGTCGGGCAACAATTGAAATTTTGTCTAATCTTTGTAATCTGGGAGAGAGATGTTTTAAAAGATTTGGAAAATTATATAGACACATGTTAATTTTGTAAAACAACTGAATCGATCACGCGGCCGTGCACGCAATTCAGGTTGTCGGTGACGGAGCCCACATTTCGTGAGCGGCTGGTAGGCTGACAAACGTAGGTTGCTGCTGATGTGATCCGATTTGATCAAAGAAAAAATGGATAAACTGACATATTTCTTTGGTATGTGTGCGATCGAAGACGGCGATTGGGAGAAAATAGCGCCAGGGGCGCGCTGACGAATCAATTTCACATGCACGAGGCACAGGAGCGCTAGTCTTGTTTGGGTATCAGGTTTTCTGGTGGGTAAGGTGGATCGAGTCTATTATTTCTTTATTTTTTTGCATCGATGCGCGTGCCGAGTCCGGAATAAGCGGGGCCCATCTTCTTTTGCTTCCGAATTTAAAAAAAGAACAGCATGAACAGAGGAGATGAAAAAATAAGGCAACGAAGAGGGGGCGGGCGATGCATGAAAGAGTCATGACGGCAAGAGATTTTTCAATAACGGATGGAAGAAAGGGGGGGAAATAGTAAAATACAGACCGCACATTGAGGATGAATCATGGGACTTGTCCTGTTCTACTTGGACACACATGCAGGGCGTGGGTGGCTTGGCTAACGTTAGCCATTCCGACCCAGGCGGGCGGTCTGAGAGCCGTGCATGGCAAGGCTTGCTTGACTCACGACCGACATGAGCTCAGCTGCTGCATCAAGAGGCCGGTAATATTTTGTTGCAGTCACAAGACGAAGTGATTTATTTTTTTTTTAAAAAAAAAAACTGATAATAATAATTTTGAAATGTTTTTGATAATCTAAACGATTTGTCTATATGTTTTTCATGCAATCTTTGCTATCCGAGGAAGCCACGGCGGGCAAGCTCGTGCTGTTGCTGCAGTGCCACTCTTACCGCCATTGGCGGGAGCGGTCACTATTGTGTAACATAAAAAGTGTCCTATACAAGTAGAGTGGTGTATGCTCTGTATCCCAATGAATAAATCAAAAAAACGCCCAAAAATGGTTTCATGTAGAAATAAACTGTCCTCCCCCATGGTATCAAAGATGTTTGGTTTTGAAAAACGCCATACAAATGCCAAATGATGCTGCAACAAGTTTCGCTAATCGCTCAGAAGGAAGAAAGAGTAGTAGTAGTCGTAGTCGTCAAAAGTTTGTCATCGGTCTAGTACACCATGATGGCGGATACCAGGCCGGCTGCTGTGCGGCGGCTGTAGTACTCTTCTTCTTCTTCTTCTTCTTCTTGCTGCTTGGCGTGGGCGGCTTCAGGCAGATGTGCCTCGGTGGGCGAGGGTGGCATGGACTCGTCGTCGGATGAGTCCGAGTCTTGATGGTCGAGGAACAGTTCAGGCGGGGAGTTGCTGTGCGAGGGCGTGCGGACGAGCTCGAGCTGTGCATAATCCTCCTCATCGTCGTCCTCTTCGGCGTCGACCTGCTCGACAGTGACTGTCGGAACCGTTGTCATCTTGGTATCCTCCTCGTCATACTCAAAGTCGGAATCAGAGTCCGAGTCGGACGAAGCCGCCTCGTACTCGTCCTCCTCGACGGCCTCTTCGACGATGCGGTCCGCCCACTGAATGTGGCGCTTATCAGAAGACTTGGTGGTGGTGGTGGTGTTGCGGACAGACTGGTTGAACCAGCGCTCCTGCTCGCGCTCCGCCTCGGCGAGCTCAGCCATGAGGGAGTCGAGGAGGTTGGCATGACCGACAAGCAGACGCAGGTCGTGATCGGACTGGGCAGCCTCGCGCGAGAGCTTGGCGCGGGCCTTGTGTGCCAGGTAGTAGGTCTGGGTGACGGACATTGTTTTGCGCGAGGGAGCGGCAAAGAGCGGGCGAGAGTGTGTGGTGGTTTTGATGGTAGCAGCGATAGGCTTGCTGTTGATGGGAGTTGATTGAAGAGTTGCGGCGGTAGACATGTTGAGAGAAGAAGAAGTGGAAATATGAAACACTATATATGGATGGTGTGTATTTATTTTTTTTCTTCTTCTCCTCTTCCTTGTTCCCTTGATGGGCGTGGTGGTGTCTTTTTTCTTTAAATGGTGAGTCAGGCCCGGTTGCGGGTCGCTAGTGGGTTTAGGCAGGGGTTGGTGTGGAAGAGGTGCCGTTGCGGTAGATGTATGAATAATGTGGCTGTGGTGTAGTCGAAAGCGGTCTCGATCTCGAAATGATGAAACTGATGGTTATTGTAAATGTTTGGTATGGTTCGTTGGTTGTGATAAAGATGTGAAGCAAGAAAAGTTCAGAAAGAGGTGTGGGCATCGGGATTCTTTTAATCTCGTCCGTCGTTGAGGGGGGGATCTTGGTCAAGGTCCGTCTTGCCGGGGGCCCGCGCCAAAGCCGGGCAGCGAGCCCTTCAAGGTGACCAGGGGACGAAGGAGAAAAAAAAACAAGCCCGCGGCGCTGAGGCGGAGTTTGGCATACGCGGACCCGAGCATAACGAAAGCTAGGGATCCACCCTATTAACCGGGCAGGGCCCAAGAGGACTCATCAGACAAAGTTGGGGTGGGGCTTTGAGTTGATTACAAGGCCCATGGACATTAGCAATCCCCGGCGGGCCGCTGACAGATGGACGGTACCAGTGAGTCTTCTCGGGCCCGACTGACTGGCTGCAAGCTTTCTCGTCGCTCGCTCTCGCTTTTTACTCGGGTTTTTTGGGTGGGCCGCCTGTGACCAAGCAACTCGCTTATGTACACCCTCGTGCTGCCAGGTACCCCCCCGGACAAAAGCAGCTGCCTGCAGCGCCCTAGCAGTCACTGGCAGTCAGTACAACATCGCCGTTATTACAGGGCGCGTATAGCTGTACCCGGGTCCCCTTCGGACTCTGGTCGGAGACGACAAATGACACGACATCACAAGACATATCAAGCCTGTGACTCCCTTTTTTCCCAAATCGACATTCTATCCACAGCCGTTTTGGGATTAACAAGAAACCTTCCAGCGAACTGCACCAATAATCCTCCGCTAATTAACTCCGACCATTGTGCAATCTCGCACTCTTCATGTCTCATCCTGCTGAGGAATCTCTCACTACTTGTGCCTGGCCTAACGCTAACTCAGGTAGCCCCTAACGCCGGCAGTGACTCAACGCACACCACAACGAAACTCTGTAACGCTGCTCGCAACCGTTTTAGGGCGTTTTAGTTGCTCTAGTGAATTTGTCGATTCATAAGCCATCCACCCACCGGCTTAGAAACCAATGTCCGCCTAGTTCCGCGCCCAAGTTTATTAATTTTTCAATTTGACTGCAAGTGTCCTAACTATGCTGGAATCATGCTCAATTTCGCAAAATCCACATTGGTCAAATTTCGTTTCGAGTCATTCATACCCTCCTCTGGCAGCAGGCAGTTTCAGTTCACCGTTCCGCCCGCCCTTTTTTCGACCAGCCGACAACCACCCAAGCCATTTACGCAACCATGCCTCGAAACGTATCCGCAAGTCGTAACTAGATGCACGCACGCATAACGTCAGCCCTACATGTACGTATTTGGCTGAGCCTGTTGCTCACCCGCGCAATCTATCCCAGTTGGGCCGCCGTGCGTGGCCTCACTTATTGCGACCGCACCACTACCCCCCCAAGTCCTCATTGTTGTGCACTCGTTACGCGTCATCGACAATACACACACATCAGGTTTAAGGCGCTGATGAGCCAGAGAGCGGCATGTGAGTAAGGCTTCAAGCCACAGTCGACTTGCACTGCTGGAGTCACGGCGCCTACTAGTTATGATTCAACCTCGCATCCCTCTACTCCATACGTGCCCGATGCAGTTGCTTTTTCCCCATGCGTGCATGCGTTGTTGTGCATGCACTGCCCAGAATGCTTGATTATTATCCCCCCCCTCGTCTCCTTGTGAGCGGTGATCGTCGACTCGTCCGACGATCGTGCATCGACGTCTCTTGCCTCGTCGCGATGTAAGGCTGAGCGGAACACACAAAAGTGTAAAATGTGTCATTCCGTCTTGTATCTTCCAGTTGATGTTTCTTTTTTTCTTTTCTTCACTTATTTTTTTTCCCCCTTTTTCTTTTTTGGTCGAGCGCTTTTCGACATGTCCGTTCCGCCCATGACTGTTCTTCCCCAAGTCCACTGTCAACAATCGAAGCTCTACGAAATACAAGGAAAGAAAAAGAAATCCGCCGTTAAAGCCCGTCTAGTGATGCCCCTTCAGGTTTAGCGTCGGTCATCTCCTCGGTACCGAGTCCGCAGGCCTTTTTAACTATTTATTTAGTCGCAAAGCTTCATGAGCGGACAAGACAAAAAGCGTGTTAATAAGCAGTTCTGACAAAAGCTTGTTGCTAGTTAGCGTCCAGCGTCCGTCCAGCCACCAGCCTTGCGAAGAAATGCCCGAGGGCCGACGGCGTTAAAATTTAAATGAACAAGACGATGCGCTACCGAAAAGGGTTTTTGCTCACTAATAAAAAAAAATTAACAAAGAAATACTGCTACCGGCCGTCGGCGCCGTTTGGGAAGTCGAGGGCGTTTACAGAGAAAATAAGCGAAACAGAAACGATTTTTCTGTCTCAAAATATCGTGATGATTGTACTACTCAATTGTTGCAATTGAGTTCTCTCTCTTTCTCTCTTTTGGCGACATCCGGTACCGCGTTGCCGTCTCCATTCCTTGCAAGTAGCAGCCACTTGAACTTGTGAAGCCGAACAGTACCAATTCTACACACCATTCCCAAAATGGTCACCTGGTTCTGCGTCGCCGAGACTATACATCCAGCGCCGATTTATTCTCTCTGCTTGCGCTTTTACCCTAGCCTTCCCCGATTTGCCTAATTAGCAAAGAAGCGTCTTCTGTTTAGGCCATAGCGAGTATCGGGCGCCTTTGTTATATTTTCCATGTCCCAATTCGTTGCTAGGCCGCCGTCATATTCACAGCCACCTCCAAATCGCATCGCGTGCATCGCGATCTAGCACACCTTTACGAACACATCGGCTGGCTTCGATTTTACACGACTTTCCCAAATCAAAAGTCCGCGCATGCCTTGCATTGTTTTGCGGTATCGATTTCAAGATGCTACGCCGTACCAATTCTCCATACTGCGTTTAAAACGCCGTTTCTGCCTTCTCGAACCATGGGTGGCGCCACCTCTCAATGTCCGGAGCGCACACTTGCAGGTCACTTCTTAACACACTCGAAACTTGATCTGTAATATCGCGCCATTTGCAAAGGCGAGGAAATCGCCGTCTGTTGGGCAAAAGATGGACACAGCCAAAAGCATTACGACTCTACTTCCAGTAGCCTACTCGTCTCGTCGCCGTCAATTGGCGCCGTCTTTCGGACCGGCCCCAAAAAAAACCTCCACGGGCTTTTTTCTTCTCATCCTCCTGCCTTTCCTCAACTCTCCGGTCCGGCAAGCCACTTATGCCCACTAGACGGGCAAGACGGGCACGAGGCTGGACAGGGCTGCAGGAAGCAATCGGGTAATCATCCTGGTCACGACGCACGAGACCCAGCTTCAGTCCCTTGTTTTTTTCTTCCCCGATACCCGATGGTGTGGGAAGAGGGGGGGGAGGGTAACGAATGTGCGTTTCCGCCGTAATAGCCGGATTGCTGGGGCAAAGAGAAAAATAAATACGCGGGAACAAAAGGATGGAAGGAAAGAAGAAAGCGGATCCCGTCGGCGGCCGTGTAATCGCCGTGGACCGTCACACCCGTTGCTCCCGAGGGCGCGACTTTGGCCACGTTGTGGAGCTCCGGCTGCGGACCCCAACTGGTCACCAGACAGGATGGAAAATGGAGCAAAGATGAAAAAAAAAAAAAATACATGACGAGATTTGAAACAAGAAGGAGAAAGGGTCAAGAAGAAAGTCCGATCGCGGATTGTTCATGATGATTGGTACGCCATGGTCAAATGATGCTCGTCCGCATCGACATCACGGGGTCTCGCTGTACAACAGTCAAGGAGTTCAGACTAAGCGGACATGTCTTCAAAGTTTAGAACAAGGGAAAAGACTCTTGCAAACTTGACCCCAAGCAACGGTTGCACTCACAACGCCTAGAAAGCTTGTCGATCCTCTCGGTCATCCGAGTGTCACCCCCGGATTAGCAAGACAACTCGCTCCGCACCCTCACGCCAACCAGATCTGCGCGTGACCAGCGTCTGGCACAGTCGCGGCTATGGCTGTCCGATTCTGCTGATAAATAGGTGCCGGCACCTCGCCTTGGCCACGGGCCCGTTGCAAGTCGCGCCGCAGCCACATAACCTAGTTGGCTGTCCCGCTGACAAAGCGGAAAACGCGCGCATGTAAACGCAGTCATTAATGACCAAGCCTGTAGCTGTTGACGAGACCGAGCAACTTGCCTTGGCTGCTGAAGATGCCAAGTTGTTTGCGGAAGTGGTGCTGTCTCGTTTCGTTGCGTGCGACATCGTTATGGAACGGCCGGCCTCCTACTTGTCAAGTGAGTAATCGGGAAAAGTGATGACTCGGAGCCTGTTTAACCTGTCATGACATGAGAAATCACATTGTAGAGACATGTTCACTCTCGCTTCTGTTTAATCTGCGCTGAGCCAGATGTTGTAATTGAATCTAGAAGAATATCAAACTGAATACGCCGTGCCACTATGCGATACTGTGCAATTCTGTGCAAAATCAAATATCCACGACCAAGGAAAACCCATTGCGCATCTACACCGCGCGCAGCTTCTGCTTTGTCCTCTTCCTCTTGCCGCCAACCTCCTTGTTCTCCTCCACCTCGAGCAGAGCCTCGCGCTTCTTCTCGCTAACCGTCTTGAGCGCGTCGCGCAGCACGCGCGTCTCCAGGTTGACGCCCTCCTCGGCCCACGCCTCCATGTCGCGGCCCACGCGCTTCTCAATGGCGAGCACGAGCTCGACGTCGCGCTGGCCGACAAACGTCACGGCCTCGCCCGCGCGGCCCGCGCGCGCGGTACGGCCGACGCGGTGAATGTAGTCGTCCGGATCGCGCGGGACGTCGTAGTTGATGACGAGGCTGACCTCGGGGATGTCGAGACCACGCGCGGCGACGTCGGTGGCGATGAGGATGCGCGCGGCGGACGCGCGGAAGCGCGCCAGGTTGTCGATGCGCTGGCGCTGCGGCAGCTTCGAGTGCAGCGACGTGACGCGGTGGTCGAGCAGCCGCAGCATGTGGTGCAGGAAATCCGCCGTCGCGGTGCGGTTGCAGAAGAGAATGACCGTCTTGCCGACATTGGCCTCGGTCAGGAGCAGGACGTGCAGGTAGTGCTCCTTGTGGGTGACGGGGACCTGGAGGTGGTACTGGCTAAGCGTCGCCGGCACCGCGAGCGTCTGCGTGTCCACCTCGCACACAAACACGGGCTGCTTGCCCGGCTTCCGCGGCATGGCCTCGAGCGCGCGGACCTCGGGCGTCATGGTCGCGGTGAAGAGCAGCGTCTGGCGCTCCGTCGGCGGCGGCAGCACCGACAGGCACTCCTCGACGTCGGGCAGCATGCTCCCGGGCCCCGCCGCGTGCAGCAGCCGGTCCGCCTCATCCAAGACGATGAAGCGCACGCGTCGCAGACCGCAGACGGTGTCCTCGCCCGACGTGCGCACGTGGTCCGCGAGTCGACCCGGCGTCGCGATGATGATGTGCGGCCGCTGCTTGAGCGCAATGGCCTGCGGCCGCATGTCGGCGCCGCCCGTGATGAGCACCACCTTGAGGCTCTGCGGCGCGGCGACGGCGCGGAACTGCTCGTATATTTGCAGCGCCAGCTCGCGCGTCGGCGTCAGCACCACGCCAAACACGGCTGACGGATCCTCTGCCCACTTCTGCAGCATCGGCACCGCAAAGGCGACCGTCTTGCCGGAACCCGTCCGGCTGCCACCAATGCAGTCCCGTCCGCGGAGAATTTCCGGCACGCAGCCCTTTTGGATGCCCGTCGGCCGCCGGATGGCCATGTTGGCGAGCGACTGCACGAGCCACGGTCGGACGCCGAGGGCCGCGAACGTGGTGTTGGGATCGGTGGGCGCCAGAACCTGGGTCTGGACGGCCTCGACAGCTGGCTTGGCCGCCGGCGCAGTGGCTGCACCCTTCTTCTTGATACGGGATGGTGCCGCAAATGAAGCGAGTATAGGCTTCATGGCTTGTTTGGGACCATCTTGCCCGTCCTCGTCGCTCTCGACCTGGACGCCGCCGTCCTCTTCCTCGTCGCTCGAGTTGTTGTCTTTCGTTCGACGTCGCTTGCGGGCTGCTGCATTGTCCAGGTAATCGGACTCGTCCGAGGATGCGGAGCCTGCAGATAGAGTCTCTGCAGTATCAAGGGTCGCTTTTGACTTTTTGGTGCCTGGCATGGCTGGGCAGATCTGCAGCTTGTCTTGTTGCGCATGCCGCATCAAGAATCGTCTGGAGATTTTTTTTTTACTGAGCCAACGGCTATCGATAGGCGGCCAGCCGCTTTCGCTTTGGTGGGGTCGGTAAAGCACGCGAGAATCGGACATCATGTCAGATGGTTGTGAATAAATGTCAAAAAGTACATGCTACTGTATGAGTATCAATTTAATTATTTTTTATTCAAAATTCTACGGGTATAGTTTGTAGCTGTTGTGTGGGCGAAATCGACCTCAGCTCGCAGCCAACCGAACTTCTCTCTACACCGCTGGTGGTATTAGTTGCTGTGGAAAGTCGAGAATGGCGTGAACGATGCTGCAATTCATGGCAATATTCTCATGTAGAGTTTCTGATTCAGAGTGGCCTAATGGACTGAATCGGGTCGCATCTTGCAAACCCTACGTAGAGAAAATCTTGAGGTATGCAGGATAATGTTGGCATCAGAGAGTGCTGCAAGTTACAGGACTAGCCAACCCACCAGAAGCAAAGTATGCCGACACTCCAGGCCAAGAGGTTGTACGAAGCAGCCATGGAGTGATTATAGGAGACACGAGTACGGGCAGCAACTTCGAAGAATTGCGCGGGCACAAGCAGGGCTACGGCCATGCGATAGATGTTCCTATCGGTCCTTCGGGTGACATGGCATATTGCTCTAAAAGGCTACGTTGTACCTGGGAGGCTACCATGCTGAAATTTTTTAAGTATGTGCCTTGTCCGGCTGCTTGAGGTTGTCTTAGAAGCGCCATTCTGCTCTACTCTGCCCCTTGTACGTGAAGAAATCAACTGCTGTTAGTTCGTCTTGATTCTTGAACGCTAGTGTCGAGTTTTTTCGTCGTTAAGATCAATCGATAGACTCACGCGGACAAGGCGATGCACTTTCCGACAGCCGTCGTGTTACTCAGTGCACTGTCTTATCTTTGCGCCGCCGACTGGCTTGAACTCTATCAGCGATGCACTCACAGGGACACATGCGAAGGACTTGGGTATTTCCATACAAATGATGGCGAGTGGGAGGTAAGCGGCAATGACGGGTGCCATCGCACCAAGGTGCCGAATCTGAACGAATTTTGCATCGACTGGCGTCTGGGGCGGGCGCACTTTCGATTCCGGGGACAGGGGGGCAAGAGATGCATGTTTCAGACAAGAACTGAGCGTTGGAAGAAATGCGCCTTCAAATATTGCTGGAAGCATACTTTCGAAGAGATAGGCTGCTACTGGTTCATGTCCGACAACAGGCATGAGGATAACGGTGCATTGCCCTTTACCATGGAAAAGCCCGAGAGGGGATGAGAAACGTCGAACAGGCATCTTGCAGAGGCATGTTGAGTACAGATATACGAGTATAGCATAGAGAAATAGTAGCTCTGGTTTGCTAAGACGGAGCTGGCCAACTTTAATGATTCCTGAAATCAGTGTACAGGTCCAACAGGAAATTGCAGACGGCAAAGGGCATCGAAGAGCGGGCGTTTGTGCCGGCTATAACGGCACAGGGTTCGGGTTTGGGTCGAATGCAGTGACGAGGATTGCAAATGCCATGGGCCATGACCGTATGCCTGCGGGATTGATCATGGCGGTGTCCTGTGACGAGGTGCGTGAAGGAGGGTCGCACGCTTGTGACAAGTCCCGCCTGGCAAGTTGGCAAGCAAGCAGAAGGTCTCGGATATGCGTTTGGCAAAAAGTGACGATCCCCACCACCTCCCTGAGAGGGGGCGAGCTTGTTGGGGAAGGAGCGTGGGTTGATCCGGAGGAGAGTTGTTTGTGAAGCCGGTGGCCGGGAGGAAAGCAAGAAAGGATGCTGCGACTGCGGCAGGGAAGCACCTGTGAGCCGTGGTGGTGAGGATCGTAGTAATAGCTGTTTGGCGAAGGTTGGTACGTCGAGATTCCGTCCCGCCGATCAGTACGCCACGCGGAAGAGAGATGGCCCTCGGCCTGAGAAGTGATTGGATCTGGATAAATGGGGGTGGTCAAGGTCGTTTGGCGTTTGTATCTTTTTCATCAATGGCACTCCGAATCGCTAGCTGTTGAGAGGAGGAGAAACGAGCCGAAAAGGTAAACGAGCGAGGAGAGCCAGATACGTCAATGGCGCTTTCCGATCCAGCTGTTGATACCGTGGGCTGCTGGACCTACCTACGCGCTGAATGTTGGGCGGTTATGTGATCAACGCACCACTGAAACGGCATTGTTAGGCGCTGGGAACAGGATGGTGGAGGCCCTCAAGCCAAGCCTCGAAGGCGGAGCGTTTTGGGGGCGTTGAGGAGCAGCGTGCCTGAGCTCTCCACTGACAAGGGGGAACCTTGGGTAAAAGAGAAGAGCATCGGACGAGGCGCGGCAAGCCGAAAGCGTCCTGACCTTGCATTTTGTGCCCTACTACTTACGTAGAGCGTCGTGACTTGGAGATCTACCGCTTACAAAAGGACGAGACGAACAAGTAAGTAAAGAGTAAAGGCGACTGTAACGGTTCACTGCCGTTAAAGTGCGCAGATATACAAAGGTTCCATGTGCTGCTTAATGGCACAGAGGCCCCCACCCAACGTTGGGAACTTTGTACCTTCAAGTGCAGGAGTGCCTACCTAATATTACCTTCTTGAGCCCGCCAATCTTTGCTGTCTGGCTCAAGATTTCCTTGCTCCCCTTTGCTTGCCTGTTCTGTCTTGCCTTTGCTTGCGTGCTGCGTGCGCAGTTTCAGCGCTTAAATACCTTGGAATCAATTAGATGCCCGGCCACCGCCAGATGCCGATTCCAAAGCCGCCAGGCTGGCCTGCAAACACTGGTCCACCACTGTGATGTGACTGGATGAGACCCGCCTGCATTCGAGGTACTTGAGTCGACAGCCTGTATGTACCTTTCCAGACGTACCCCCATTGCCCCAGTCTGCATCATCGGCGGCCCAACTCCCTCTGCTCTCAGCCATTTCTCACTGTGGACAAGTCTTGAATCTTCAGTAACGCTTCTCTGCTCTCCGACCGCCCGCGCCACCACCACCACCACCCTTTTGCTCGCGACCCAACCTGCTGAATCAACCCCCCCCCCAGATCCCCCTTTCGCCTTCAGCCGCCTTTGCCAGCTTTCCTCATCACTCATCATTCGTTTCTATCGTCATCTTGCAATACTGATTCGACCTCTTGCGAATTATTCAAGCTGCTGCTGACTAGACCACATCTCTGTTTCCCCTCACACAGCTTCGGAGACTCTACGACCTCACGACCCGACCAGCACTTTGTCTCGTGATTATCACATCGTCCAAACAAAGACGGCACTCGACTGCTACCTCTATTTTTCACTGCAATACGCAGCAGCTTCGACACTGCTTCCAAAACGCCAGCACTCACGTCTTTCGCGGCAGAGAGGCCTTTACCATTCTGCCAGGGCCTCTTTGCCCGTTGCATCGCCTCCGCCCCGAGCTATTCAGCGCCATCATAGCAACTTTGTCTCCTTGTCCTACTCAGGCCAAGATTAGCCATCATGGCTGATGCCGGAGCCTCCCAGACACACGGCCCAGGGTCCTCCCAACAGGTACTGCCCCTCACTGTTCAGCGCCTTCATGTCCACTGACTTGGAACAGCCTCCAATGACGCCCGCCGCACCTCAGATTCCCGCTCCAGCAACACCTGGACAGGTTCCCCTCATGAATGCACCCGCGCCTCTCCTTCGTCCTGCCCTGCCCGGCAGTCGCCCCGGCGGCTCTCGAACCCCGCGACTCGGCCTCGCCATCCCGCCCTCCCCCAGCGTCAAACCTGTCTCTCAAGGTGGTCAACCGGCTCCCAACCGACCACCCCTTCCAACCATGAATCTCGCTACACCCATGGGCAGCTACGTTACACCCTACGAACAAACCCCGAGGTCCAACAACTGCGCTCAGCCTGGACAATCTGCAGGTGCCGGCAGCGAAAGTAGTGCCGCTCACTCGAGGTCCGGTAGCTTTGGTCCACTAGATGGCAGGAACAGCAACCCTACGTCTGCCGGTTCTCAGTTCTCCGCCCTCTCCTTTGCGTCGCAGCTATCACAGTTTGGTATTCCTGTTGGCCGTGCCCAGGGTACTCCCGATCCCATCTCCGCAGTCGGCTCCATGTACTCGGAAAGAAGCGAAGGCGGCGCCAACATGGAGAGAGAAGGCAGTTTGCAAGGCCTTGAGGCTTTCGATAAACTCAGCCTCGAGAAGGCTAGGGCTGCAGACGTCGAAGATCTCGATGACGAAGGCTGGAGAATCGCCAGCATGGAAAGACGCATAGTCGAAATTGGAAATCTCGGTGAAGGTGCCGGCGGCGCAGTCACGAGGTGCATGCTGAAGGGCGGTAAAACCGTGTTCGCTCTAAAGGTACTTCATTGTCACTTACCAATGGTGGTCACCTCAAGGCTAACATTCTTATCCAGGTCATTACCACAAATCCGGATCCCGATGTCAAGAAGCAGATCGTCCGCGAGTTGGGTTTCAACAAAGAATGCGCTTCGGACCACATCTGCCGCTACTTTGGTGCATTTGTCGACCCTTCAACTGCCACAATCTCCATTGCCATGGAGTTCTGTGAGGGCGGCTCACTAGACAGCATTTACAAAGAGGTTAAGCGTCTCGGCGGACGAACAGGAGAAAAGGTTCTTGGCAAGATTGCCGAAGGTGTCCTTGGCGGTCTGACGTACTTGCACACACGTCGCATCATCCACCGCGATATCAAGCCCTCAAATATCCTTTTGTGCCGCGACGGCTCTGTCAAGCTTTGCGACTTTGGTGTGTCTGGCGATTTTGGCACCAAAGGTGAAGCCAACACCTTCATCGGCACCAGCTACTACATGGCACCAGAGCGTATTACGGGGCAATCATACACCATTACATCGGACGTCTGGTCAACCGGTGTGACCTTGCTCGAAGTTGCTCAGCACCGTTTCCCATTTCCGGCAGATGGCACTGAGATGCAGCCACGTGCTGGTCTGATTGACTTGCTCACCTACATCGTGCGACAGCCCGTGCCAAAGCTCAAAGATGAGCCTGAGATGGATGTCTACTGGAGTGACAACTTCAAGTACTTCATTGAGTGCTGGTACGTATTTCTCTTGCCGCAGTTGCCCTCCTTTCTTTGCTGACCTTTGTTTAGCCTGGAAAAACAACCTAATCGCCGTGCAAGCCCCTGGAAAATGCTGGAGCACCCCTGGATGGTTGAGATGAAGCCAAAGAGGGTCAATATGGTCAAGTACTTGTCCTTTGTCTGGGGCTGGGACAATGAAGCCCCATCTCATGCTGCCTAAATTCCACCTACTTGCAGGTGACTGCAAAGCAGTAGCTGTGAAAGCCTCTCTCGCCTGTCGGCCGCCTCAAATTGATGGCATGTGGCCCAGGGCCAGCTCTACATGAGCACTTGCCAGCGATCTCGAACGTTGTGCAGTATCTACTTTCAAGCTAAAAAGCTTGGATAGAGAAGAACACCTTATACATATACACACGGATAATACTACGTTCACGTCGAAAAAATTAAACATCTTCAGTTGCATCAGTCGGAGCATACACACAGCAGTTCAAAAACGCAAATTCAGCCTGGAGAATCATGACAGAAACGAAGAAAATGGGGGGAAGTGTGCTGTTTCACTTCTATTATGGCTGCCACTCCTTCCTTTTCTCTCGCATTTTGGGGTCATGAGGAATCACAGCATTATTCCATTGCAGTTATCGATTATACGCGCACACACTACAGTTTGGGGATTCTTTATCTTGTTTGGGAATAATTCGGGATACCTTTGAAAAGAATATTATGGCATAGTCATGCTGGCATAATCGTTTTCAGTTGTTTTTCTCCTCTATTTTAGTTACGTATCTCGGCGTTATCTTGGAATATCAAACATTCACAGATACAGCTTGGCGCATTTGGGTCCTCTTGTGAAACACATGTGTCATATCCCTCCCCCATATATCCACGACATATAATAGTTGTTCCTTTTATTACCCATCGCATCTTGATATCCAACACATATCACGACTCTTCTTGCATGTCGCCCATCAGCTCTCTAAGCGTCACGGTGGCGTAGGCACTGCGTCCCAGCTGAAACTTGACAATGGCCGCAATCTTTTCCTCGGCCGACTCTGCGGCCTCGCCCTCCTCGACCTTGGTCTTTTTCGCCGCAGGCCCCTCGTCGCTCGTCTTCTCCGCCGCCGCTTTGAGAACGTCGAGATCCGTCGGGTGCATCTGCTCCTTGTCGTCGGTGTATGTCCGGAACTCGATGCTCGGCGGCGCCAGAAAGCGGTTCATGACCTTGCGGTACCGCCCGGGCAGGCTAAACTCGCGGCGCATGCGCATCATCTTGCGTGGGTCCAGACTGCCATTCTCGGCGCGACCCATGAATTCCGCGTAAAACGCGCCGATGTCGTTTTCAGGGTACACGACCTGGTAACCGGGCGTGGGCAGGACAACGTCGTGGATGGTGTAGCGCCCGCTGGCAGCCTCCTCAGCGGTAAGAGGGCGCGCGCGGACAGGCGCGCCGTCATCGTCATCGGCGACGGGGTTGATGATGTCGTCGCCGTCCTGATCCTTGCCGCCATGGAGCGGCGTGGCGTCGTCGTCGGCAATGACGAGGTCGCCGGCGACCACCGAGGAACCGTGCCTCTCCCAGCGCATGCTCGCCGCGTGGTTCCACACGTGCGACTGGTAGGCGTGCAGGTACATGGAGCGCAGCCCGCGCGTGATGTGCGTCAGCGAGCCGACAAAGTCGCGTATCGACGAGGCGCCGCCGCGCGTGAGGTGCCGCGTCACGCACACCTCGGCGGCGAAGCGGCGCGGCATCATGCTGGCCGCCTTTTGGGGGTCCTTGCCGGTGCGGAACAGCATGCACGCGTGGTGACGCGCGAGCTCCTCCATGTTGGTCTTGCTGCTTCCGTCTTGTTGGTCGGCGGCGGCGGCGGCGGCCGTCTCGTATTTGGCGGCGAGCTCGGGGTCGTAGGTGAGGAGCGCATGCACGGCCTCCTCGTACTTATCGCCGAGGATGAGCTTGCCAATTTCATGCGTGCCAATGCGATGTGTGCCGAAGCGCTGGTGGCCAAAGTAGTTGATCCAGCCGTGCGCGGCCATGTGTTCGAGGGCCGTCCCCACGTTGCTCTTCAACAGCTCCAATTGCTCAGCGAGGGGCTTTGCCGAGTCGCCGCCGCTCTCGTCCACGACCTTGCAGTTCTTGAGCGTAATGACAAACTCGTTGCCGAGGAGCTGGCCGAGATGGATGCCCTCGTCGCGGTACTCGTAGTTGCCAGTCGTTATACCCCAGAGGTTGCCATTGAGGCCGGCAAGGCTGCGCTGGTGCGTGTAGCGGATGGAGCAGCGCTGCGCCGTCGACGCGCGCCGGTCTTTGGTACCGGCGTAGCCGATCGACTGCGGCTTGGACCGAATCATGCGCGCAATCTGCGTCACGGCGTCCATGGTGTCGCGGTTGTCCTTGTATAGCGTAAAGTGCAGGTACTCGGCGGCGGGCCGGTTGTCTTTGCGCTCCCGGTTGTTGTCGCGTTGTTGGGCGCCGCCTCGGTTGCGCTTCTTGCCGCGCGGCCTGTCACGGATCGCCGTCGCCACGATGCCGCCGCTGCTGTCGGTGGAGGTGTCAATTCGGGACTGGAAGATGCGGCGCACCTCTTGGTGTATTTGGCCGCGCGTGTGCTTTTCGTCAATCGGGTCCGACGAGATGGGCTTGACGCGCTGCTCTGGGTCTGCTGTTTGCGCCTCACGAAACATGTCCACAAGCTCTTGCGCAAATTTCTCTCCAGCGAGGTCTGTCAGAATCTTGACATCTTCCGGTGCTACCTCGATCACCTTGGCAGGCGGCTTCGGCTTTTCGCTCTCCTCTTCAGCCGGCTTGGTCTCTGCGGGCTTGGCTTCGGATTCTTCCTTATCCGTGACACCTTCGGCTTTCTTCTGCTCCTCTGTGAGACCGATAGTTTTCAGATGAAACACCTCGCCGTCCAGTCCAATCTCGTTGACCTGGAAATCGGAAAATCCAGTGTGGGTTAGCTCACCGGTGGATGCGCCAAAGGTCAGGCTACTCACCGAACTCTCATTTCTCCAGCCCAGGAGAAAGCCAGTGGAGTCGCGCGCTGCGTAATTCCAAGCAACTTGTCGCGCGAAGGCGCACCACGTGCGTGGTATCTCGCAGGCTCAGCCATGTTTGTTGCAATCGAGACAAACGTGAGCCGTTAAAAGAGCTGATGTAGAAGTCTCTGCGCATCTTGATCAACACTGGATTGGGAACTGGGTCCACCCTTTCTGCCGGCAGAATGTGAGCAGTCAGGTCCATTACGGTAAGCGGTGTATACTTCTGTTAATGTTTGGTAGGCGGTGACAGGCGCATACAGGGTATCTTCGTTCTCTCATGCATCTCGAAAACCAAATGGTGAGAGACCTACAGTGCAAGGAAAAATTGTCAAGAAAGATTTCTTGGAAGTAAGAAGCATGTGTATTATTTGGCGCTGTGTGCTGAGTGGTACTGTGGCACGCAATGTTGGATAAGACTAGTCTGTGATGTCCATTTTCCCAATTACCTATGCTCCTTCCTTATAAGTGAAGCTCCCACGGTCTGGACTAAGCCAGTTGTTCGCTCGACTACAATTCCAGACAGACAACACAAAATCAGAATGGAATATCGACATCGTCAATATCAGAGCCTTTCGGTTGATGGCAGTGATGATTCAGATCATGAAGTGAAGACGTTTCCAGTTTCGCCAGGTACGGGGCGTCCTTGGAAAGAGAGGACTTGCTGACAATGCGACAAGAAATCTTTGGGGCAACTCAAGTGTCCGGACTTGCAAGTCTGACGAACCCACTCAATCGATACCAGTTCAATAACTCGAACATTTTGAAGCTATGCGATGCAGTTCGGTCGCAGTTGCAAGAGAATCACACTCTTGGTCCGCGTGCAGAGGAAGTGCTTCAACTACTGAGCGCCATGACAAATGACGAGTCAGATGGAAGATACTCTGTCAATATGGGCACCATTAGTGCTTGCCGTTTGGACAAGCTACTCTCTGATATTCTATTGCCCGACAACGGCTGCTCTCCGGAAGAGGTAGCGTTGGCATACAACCTACAGAGGAATTGGAGATTACGCTTCCGGCAGGAGTACTTTGACCTTGACAAAAAAAGACTGGAGAAGTTTGCTACTGAATACGGACAATTGCGAGATATAGCATTCACAGACACGCTCGTATTTGCCCACGGGCGCTGGCAAGCTATGCGCTGCGAAAGCTTGTCCGAAGTGGAGGGAGACCAGCAATTTGAGCCAGGACAGTAAGCATATCTCTCCCATTGTAGAGAATTACTTGAATGATCTCATAACATTATAGCTAGTGGCTGAACCTGGCCTGCGCGGCTCGCGATGGTGTCGTCGGCTCCGCTCATGCAACTTCCGCGAAGGGGAGGTATGGATTTGCAGCATTGCCACTAATGAGTGGAACCGAAACAGTAGACGTTGATAAGAATTTGATAAAATACACAAGAGACTCGACATTATCGGATGCCCCAGTCTCATTGATTTCCCAGGTCGGTGCCAGAACCCGATTGCTACGTGGTCATTGCCTGAAGAGTCAATTCGCTCCTAAGAGCGGAGTACGATATGATGGATTGTAAGATGACTAGAATATGATCAAATGCAAGCACTAATCTATGTGCTTAGACATATAATCCGTCAGTACGGACATAAACTCCAAGAAGAAACTGGAATCCACAGGGTGGTCATCACTTTGGAGAGAGTCCTGGGGCAGAAGCCAATGGAGGAACTCGTGCAGGTACCACGCCCCTCACAAATGGATGAGTGGTTAATTTTTGAGAAATATGAGGGTGAGATGGTCAAGAAGCGGCAGGGGAACGAAGCATTCACCGAGTGGAAAGTTGAAAAGGCACAAGAGAAAGCCGACCACTCCGAATGGGAGAGAGTAACACGAATGACGGCCGAATTAGCACAGAGGAAGCAAGCCAAGGTCAAGTTTGCGAAGGAACCGGTGAAAATACCGCAAGACCTGCAATCAGATGATTTGGACAGTTCCTAGTATGACTGATTCCAGAAGCACTGACTTACACTACGCCTTCTGGGCCAGCAGCTAGCTAGATTTGACAAGGACTATCTGCAATTAGAACGCTACAATTAGACAATAGATGACATTTTCAAGATGATTTTCGAAGTCGACAGAACTAATATAAAAATCTTGATTGAGAGCCATGTGTTCTCATCGTCGAAGTGAACATTCACACAGACCCGCTGCGAAGGTGCCTTTGGCCGGCCCACCACAAGAGTTGGCGACTACCCCGCGACTCCTTCAAATACCCGTACTTTGCAGCAAAGATTTCCCTCGAGCGCGAAAAAATGGGCAAGAATGACAAAAAGAGCAGCGACAAATCTGGGGGGAAAGCCAAGGGAGGCGACAAGGAGGCCGGAGGCAAGGCCAAGGGCGCGCAATTGATCAATGTCCGCCACATCTTGGTGAGTCTGCCGCGCCGCGTCGCCCGATGTCGACTGGATGCGAGAGGAGGCCGTGCTAACGTACAGTGGCTGCAAAGTGCGAAAAGCATGGCAAAAAAGAAGAAGCGCTCGCGAAGCTCAACGAGGGCGTCAAATTTGACGAGGTTGCGCGCAACTACTCAGAGGATAAGGCTCGCGCGGGTACGTCGAGGCTTTGATGGCAATTTTCATGATGAGGGCGGCTGCTGACACGCGACGTGGCTGTTGTTGCTACTTAGGTGGCGCTCTTGGCTGGAAGCCCAAGGGAAGCTTTGATCCCAAGTTTGAAGAGGTTGCTTTTGCCTTGGAGCCCAGCACGACGAATAATCCCAAGATTGGCGAGGCCAAAACCGAGTTTGGCTACCACATCATCATGGTCAGTACGAATACAATGCAGCTTAGACGGCGGCATCTAATCCATGAACAGGTTGAAGGTCGCAAATAGGCATGACTATACTCCACGTACATCAAGACAAAAGCGAGTCATCACACACAATATACAACCTCAGATTTTTTAAACACTTTTTTTTGGTCGTCTTTCCTCATGGGCGACAATACGTCATCATCATGAGAACAGGAAATCATTATGCCAATGAAGCGGCTTAGAGTACAAACCGCCGTTCAATTCCAGCGGTCTCAGACCGGAGCCCGCAGTCTCTATACCCTCCTCAAAATACATCGTAACGCCTGTCCAAAAGCCTTTTTTGGGTGTTTTTCTTGTCACTTTTCGCTTACTCCGCAGACTGGAAGTAGTTCATGATGACGGAGCGCTCCTGCGACTCCTCACCCCAGTCCTTGACTACGACGCAAGAGCAGTTGACAACCTTGCGGGCGTTACCCTCGCGGTCGAGAACGCCTAGGGTGGACTTTGTTAGTAAATTGAGTCGACGGGCGGGGTTGCTTGGGAGCACCGGGCATCGAGGGGAATAAAACGTACAGAGACCGGCCCACTCGCCGAGCTGCTTGCCGTCCTGAACCTTGATCAGAGGGATCTTGTGCTCAGAGCAGAGAGCAGCGACGAGCTTCTTGTAGGCATCCTCCTCGCAGTTCTCGTTGAGAACGCACATGTGGGCCTGGCGGCGGTCGAGAGCCTTGGAAGACTCGCGGAGACCGCGGGCAAGGCCGTCGTGCATGAGAGCCAGCTTCAGGACACCCTTGAGGGCATCCTGAACGGACATTTGACCCTTGGGGGCATCGCCGGACACTTCGACCTCCTCGACGACCTCGGGAGCGTTGTCTTCTACGTCCGACTAGTAGTCTCTGTCAGTGTCTTTTGATCCCAGGATCAATGTATTGCCAAGTTCGACCGTCATTCAAAGATTTCCCGACCAATCGATTATCGCAGTGATGTAGAAGCGGACGAGTAGGCATCGCGCAGCCTTTTCCCATGGTGTGTCGAATTATTGATATTTGTTCCATCTGTTGCCGGTGCGCGCGCTCATCACTCCAATCGGTTCGTCGGGAAATTCGAATGGCGGTCGGTATCAAGACTTACCATCTTGATAGTATTTGTTCTCGTCGGGCGATCCTCGAAGATTTATTGAATGTTTGGGGGGGAGAGGAAAGGAGGAAAGAAGAGGGAAGAATGAATGTAGGTTGAATTTTGCTGGGACTGTCGTGCGTCCAACGCTGCCTGTCGATAGTGGGGCTTGGGCATACCACTTCCCTCTTTGCTAAGCGACTGTGCTGAGGGAAAACCGCCTTGCCAAAGTGCGTTACCCTTAGGGCAATTTTTTGCGCACGGACCACCAGGGCACACCACCCACTTTTCTTTTTGCACTGGACCGGATGGCTGCTGGATGCATCCTGGTCAGAATTCGTCCTTGAAGCCCTTTTTTTCTTCCCAATCCCCTTACAGACTTTTTCGTCTACATCAAGAGGTATGTGAAGCAGCAACAGCACAGTGCTGATCCCCGCTCGACGGGCGATTCGACATCGATATACCAACAACGAACAACGGGACGATGCCTCTTCTTGGTGGCGGGAAAGGCAAATTTCAGACCGACGCGCCTCCGTGAAGCGATGGGAAAACAACGCCATTGAAAGATGCACTGTTGCGACTCTACATCGTGAAGCGTGGCGGAGGCGAACAGACGTCTGGCGATGCGCCTCTCCTCGTCGGAAACTCCCATGGGCGGCTGAACCCTCGTCGACTTGGTCGATTCGAATCGCTCGAGGGCACTCTTCCTTGCTCATGCGCCGCAACGTCGAGGCTAATATGAAAACTTGGTAGATACCTCATTTCCACTTCCCGACTTGAGAATCTCCATCCAACACCGCCAACATGGTCCGCACCTCTGTCCTCCACGATGCGCTCAACGCCATCAACAACGCCGAGAAGTCCGGCAAGCGCCAGGTCTTGATCCGTCCTTCCTCCAAGGTCATCACCAAGTTCCTCCAGGTCATGCAGCGCCATGGTACGTCTGACAGATAGTATACTCTCTTGCATCCTCGTCATGGCATAGTTTGCACCCGAAAGGGAGAATCAGGTCCCTTTATTGTTCGGCATATAACTAGGGCGACGGTCTTTTACGCTACCACGACCCAGCCCCTATAAGTTGCCGATAGATTGAACTGCGTCGGACCTGAGCGCTCTATTCAAAGCGTCCTCTTTGGGGGAAACATGCGCCATGACGTCTATGCTAGGGTTGTCGCGACAAATTCTTTTTTTTCTTTTGCTAACTTGCTCTCTTTCAGGCTACATTGGCGAGTTCGAGGAGGTCGATGACCACCGCTCCGGCAAGATTGTCGTCCAGCTCAACGGCCGTCTCAACAAGACTGGTGTCATCTCCCCCCGCTACAACGTCCGTCTCCAGGACCTCGAGAAGTGGGTTGTCAAGCTGCTCCCTGCTCGTCAGTTCGGTTATGTCATCCTCACCACCTCTGCTGGTATCATGGACCACGAGGAGGCCCGCAGAAAGCACGTCGCCGGCAAGATCATTGGCTTCTTCTACTAAATGTTAGTTTTGGACGGGACTGATGTCGTGCGTGGGTGAAGCGCAACAATGAAAAAAAAGAATCTACAAAAGGATAACAAAAACGGATACGGCACTTGGCGGCGTTTTGGGACTGTTGCAGTCGATACCATTTAGCATCCATTTACATAGGAGCGAAATATCAATGCTCTAGTAATGAGACCTGTCACGAGATGCCCGAAATAATTGTCTTTGAATCGTGTGTCGTGAACGTTGACTACTGTGTTGTACCTGCGGGCTACTTATGCATGTTGCATTTTGTACTCATGTACTGTCTAAGCTCAGATCACAACCACAGCTTAGGAGTCTGCCACTCGACTACCAACTTACCGCACTTGCCTGCCGTTCCTCGTCATCGCTGGGCCGCGCGTACGCCATTGAGCGTGATGCCCGACTTGTTACGGGCACTGGCCGCAGAACGGCGCTTGACGATCCCGCGCTTGACGGCTCTACCTTGACAGCAGACCCGGTGTTGCCGCGGAGCGCGTTGCAGGCTAGCGGCACCGTAGCGTCGAGTGTGTGGACGCCGGACGAGTTCCAGGTGGCGAGACCGAAGTTGTGGGAATACAGCGTGCCCCGGGGGAAACGCGCCGGACGAGTCAAAGGACCTAGGGCCGACGCACTGCAGTCTGCCAGGCCCGAGGTCATGATGGACATATGCATCAGGCCGATCCAGGAGTAATGGAGGATTACTCCGCTTCGTTTTTGTACCAGGTTGATGAGATTCGGAGCGTCATTGTCTTGCCTTGATATGCGCTAGACAAGGGCGTCAGACAGCTACTAGTTGTTAGATCTAACATGAGACATCCGTCGAAATGTTGATCAGCCAGCCGTAGTTTCGTGCAGCGTATTTCAGAGAGTAACATGAAAATAGTAGCCGCTGATTGAAACTACTCAGCCTAGGTGAAATAGATGAAGCCTGCGAGAGGATGATTAGCTCTACTTTGCTCATGTGGGTTAAAAAAAAACGGTGTCGTGTACCAATCGTCTCGACTCCCTGGATGCCGTTCTGGGTCAATTGCCTGCGGCAAGTTCAAATCCTCGGCCAGCCACTCCAGGGTCCTGCGCGCGTACCGACTCGCATCCGGCGGACACACCGTACTCAGCTCCAGAATACCCAGCGGCCACCCGAGGCACCGCCCAGCCGACAAGAACGTCCTGCTACCATATTCCGTAGTGTGCACAAAGGACGGAACAGTGGCTAAGATATCGGATGCCACCTCGGCCATGTGCTTTCTCGCATACTCCTTCAAGCCAGAGAGCGTGTGCGCTTCGGCAATGGTCTCGTCGACGCGGCAGTGCGCAATGTCGTCGCCGAGCAAGCTCAGGAGAAATATGCGCAGCAGGCGCACCGCGTTCCAGAGCTTGCATAGGCGCAGGCTCGCATACGTGTGCACGATTCTCTGATACGTCCAAGCCGGCCCCTGAAGAAAGGGCTCGCGGGTAAAGCTGAGCGTGGGCGGCGGCGCATCGCAAAAGGCAATGATTTCCTGATCGACCTGGAGAGCCTCCAGGAGCAGCACCATGCTGCGCTCCTGCTCCTCCCGCGCTCTGGCCTTGATGGCGCAGACCTTGTGCAGCAGGTCCGCGAGTGGCACGGCCGGGTCGTGGCCGTTTAGCAGGCCTCGGACGCGCCCGTCGAACTCGAGAAAGGGCTGCGGGATTGGCGCGGAGCGCTGGATGCAGCTCGCCTTGATGTTGTTGCTGGCGTGGGCAAAGAGTTGGCGGGCGACAGACGACGAGGCGAGCTGGTCGGGCCCGCGGAGCATGAGCAGCTGCATGGCACCCCAGGTGTGGGCGACCCAGCTGGTGGGCGCGCTGCTGCTGCTGCTGCTACTGCTGCCGCTGTCCTGAAACACGGTGGCCTCGAAGAGGGCGAGGACGAGGACAGCGACGAGGGTCTGGTCCTGGACGGCGGTGCGCGGGTCGGCGAGCGCCTTATTGACGCGGGACAGGGCGCGAGCGTAGTTGGCGCGCGCCGCGTCCTGGTGGCGGTGCTGGCGGGCGTGACGGGCGTAGGCGGCCAAGGCGGTGGCATCAATGGCCAAGGCGCAGGCATCGCTGTCGGGGCTGTAGGGCAGGTAGAAGGAGGAGAGGTAGCCTTCAAAGGGGGTGGCGGCGATGAAGGTGTGGAAGAGAAAGGCGAGGGCTTGCTGGTGGGTGCTGAGGAGGAGAGCGGGGGAGATGGGTGAGGAGGCGGAGGAGGAGGAGGAGGAGGAGGAGGAGGAGGAGGAGGAGGAGGAGGAGGAGTCGCAGCTAGCGAGAGACTGTCGAGAAGAAGACGAATCTGCTTGTTGGAGGGACGACGAGGGCGAAGATGATGCGCCGTCTTGCGTTGGCGGGGAGCGCTGTCGGGCAGCGTGCGTTTTCGATCTTGATGATTGCTTCTTGGTCACGTTGGTAGTCTCTTTGCGCATGCGCAGCGCAGTGGGATCCGGGTAGCCGGGGCAAGCATGGCCTTTGCGACGACACTGAGAGCAGCCACCAGGCGCACGATCACACTGGCCAGACAATGGGGATTAGTTTTATGGATGCCTTTTTGGTGATGATGACGGCGATGGTTGCAGACTGACCTTGCGTCGCGAGGGGCGACATGCATGACATGCGGTAGACGGGCGGCCGCTAAAGACCATTTGAAGTGATGGCTGCTACGAAGCTTGCGAGCTCAGAGATCCGTTTGAATTGGCAGTCAAGTATGGTACCTTGATTTTTGACATGACGAGATGCAGAATTTTTTTTTTCATTAAATATAAGTCAAGTCAGATTGAAAGGAGACGGGGGCTGCTCCGTGACGTCGCCCACTTGAAGGACGGCCCTAATAATGGTGGCTGAGCGCTCCGTTGTAGTGGGACGAGGCTGTCGGATCCGGTCCGGCGAGGCCGTGTCATCTGCAAAAAGCCAATTGCAATAGCATGGCCCAGATTTAATAGCCAGAATTCTTTTAGAGTATTAGCAGTCATGATGGAAGTGAAAAACGGCCAAAAAAAAGAAAAAAAAAGCGTCGATTGTGGAAAGGTGTACGTCTGATATGCATATGTGTGTGCTGCTGCCAATTTCATAAAACACAAGGGATTTTTTCTTCTTCTTTTTTTCTTCTTCTTTTTTTCTTCTTCTTTTTTAACAAGGACGCTATAACAAGAATCAAGCACAGCATAACCCGGCTCTTGACGATTGATGCTACGAGCAGACATGAGTATTAAGAAGACCGAAAAAAAAAGAAGAAGCGGACCCGAGCCGGCTTGCGGGCCTAGCACCGCCGGTGCGGGTACCACGAAAAACAGGCGTGCGGGCCGACGTGTACACTGTTGTCGTCACGATAAAAGGAAGCTCGACGTCGGGAGATGAGCTATACACAGATTGGGTTCGGCTGGGAAAGCAAAATACTATTTTTGCGTGAGCTTACAATCTCGAAGCAAAGGAAAAGATTTTGCTTCCAGTTCAACCCAAAGGGGCCGCGTTGAATCGGGCAGAATTATGGCCGCAAAGACATTTCTACGAAATGACCCCCCAAAAGAGGACTAACGCCGTTATGCCACCTTGCGTCAGCCCTGTGGCAGCCAGTCCCCTGGGCGGGGAAGCACAAAATTTGCAGCTTGTGTCATGTACTTGTTCGTTCCACAAAGGCAGTGTCGACATATTTCATTTCGGTATCTCAGCTGCAACTATCCAGCTGTCGTTTTCGTCATTTACATTCCATCGGCTTTGCCTTGCAGATTGAGCTGCGCAAGCCTCAACTCCCTGTTACCTACTGAATCGCGATGGGTCCGACACCTGGCTACTAGAAGCCTTCAAAATACAACTCGCATTAACGGCGCTGTGATGGTGAGCCTCATGCTTACTTCCCTGGCATCTTGCTAGCATTGATTCATGTGAGAATTTCTCTTAAAAATTCTTCATTTTTTTCGATCTTTGGGCCATCTCTAAATCCGTGGTTGAAAATTGCCTCTGATCCACTATCTGGTCATCGTCTGGTCATCGTCTTGAACATTTTTCTCGAGGTATCTTGTTAATTTCATGCTAGAACTAACAATTATCAATGAGTAATATTTCTAAATCACCTCTCGGAAAATGACAGGAGTCAAAACTAAACAAGATTCATTAAGAGTAGGTAGGGTTGGCCTTTGGTATTCAATCAACGTCTCATCTCGCGTTGATCAACTCTTCACGGGCTCTGCCATCTATCGCGCCCTTTGCCAGCCTGTGAAGCTCATTCACAAACGTATCCACTCGCATCAGGTACTCCTTTGCGAATGGAACAGAGGCATGAATGGGCATTGTGCGCGCAATCACCGACGTTGTGCTGATGAGTTCCAAGTCCTTCAAGGTATGAGCGCCGTGCGGCCGCCGAAGGATGCTGAAGAAGAGCGTCATGAGCGCCGACATGGGGTAAAAGATGAAGACCCAGAAAGCCTCGCTGGCTACGCGGTTCGCCGAAGCCATCAAATAGACAATCGTCGATCTGCTAGCTTCGACAGACAACTCCAGGCTAGACTGCACACCCGGCAGGATCGTTCCGGTCGGCGCATTTGCCGCAGCGCTCAGGCCGCTGGCGCCGTGAATCACCATGAGAACGTGATTGTATTCCAGGTGCAGCTCCAGGTGAAGCATCGTCATGCAGCGACTGGCATCACTGGCAATCGCCAAGTCCTTGCGCACAGAGAGCTGAGGCGCGTACTCGCGCGGAACAGAGCTTCGCCAGTTTTCGAGATCCGCGTCTAGCTCGCGAATCGTCCGTATGAGCTCCGCTTCCGACTTTTGTCGTGCTTTGTTTCCGTACAGACTGTGGGCGACTCTGGATTTTACCATTGTGAGCTCCATGTCGCCTGGGAAGAATGGATCTTGCAGCTTTTTACTCGGGTCGCGGCATCTCGGAGACCACCGCGCCTCCTTGTAGCCTTCGGGTAGCGTCAAGTCGCAGAACTCGTCGTCAATGACGGGCGGATGGCCGGTGCGTAGAGAAATGTCCTTGTCAAAATAATAACACAACCAGAATAATAACCGAATATGGCGGTCCTCACGCTCTTCATAGTTGAGAACCCTATCCCCTGGAAAAGAAAACAGGCGCTGATGCCCTCCTAGGGCGAACACGGCTCGACACGCCAGAGTATTGTACATGGCCGCGGCCTGCATACGTCCAGCTGTCAGATCATGCATATTCTGAGACAGGTAGGTTAGAAAAAAAGAAACCAAGAGATTGAAGACGGACTCGCGACGTCATCTTACCACAAGAAAGTACGTCTGCAGTGTTGTCAAGCTTGTGTCTTCAAGGCATTCGGCAATGAGAAGTTTTGAAGCTTTGGCAAAAGCTTCTATGTCGACGTACTTGGTCGCGTCTACTTCGGGAAAGTGAAGCGCGATGAAGTTGAGAAGAGATAAGACGCAGGCTTTGGCGCTGATGTGCTGCAGCGAAGGCGTTCCGTCGGTCGCGTACACCAGGTTCGCTGTCTCCTCTATGAGCACTTCATCCACGATGGGAAATACCAGAATCAAATCAGACTTTGTGAATGCGTCCAGCATTGCGTCAAAAGCCCAGCGCGGCGGCAGCTTCGTCTTGCTGGCGGCGAGCGGCGATCCATCGTCGAGGTAGTGGTGCTGGAAAGAGGGAAAGTCGAACTGCGGCGTCAGCCCTGACCGCATCTGCACCCATTCCTCGCAGCCGTCTGAAAAGTGCGGGATGCCTGTCAGAAGACAGACGTACCCAGAGTCCTGGCTAGGATAGATGTCCTGGCGGCGAGATATGGGCTTGCTGGATGCACGAAGCTGCCTGTTTGACGGTCGAGACTGGCAGACGGAGCACTTGTGGCTGCGCATCGGCCTCCTTCCATGATCGAAATGGCTGCTGTTCGCACTCGCTGAATATGGGGTAGAGGCAGTCGAGGTACTGGGCGGAGACTGCAAAACCGACTCCGGGGAGGAAACGGAGCTGTTGGCCCTCGCAGAAAGAGTGTGACTGGTGCTACATGGGCGTCAGCTAGGCACTCGCGACAGCATAGGTAGCAACCACAAAACTCCAAGAACTCGACCCAGGGGGAGTACGCAGGGGGGGTATCTCTACCGTAAGCGAGGTTTCCTTGGCGTAAAAGTGCAGGTGAGGTTATGGTGGGCACACCAGTCGCAGGTTGAACCTGTCTCGGCAGCATCGCAGCGGATCTATTAGACAGCGGAGATTTGACGTGTTAATGGCAGGGCGAGCTAATGCATTTCGCACATGGCAAACGGCGGAACGACCGGGATGCTGGCAGACAAAGACAAAGAATGCTGATGAAAGGTGGATAGGCTAATTTGTGGCTTTTCTTCCTTTTGAGGTCGGAAGGTGTGAATCGACTTGCCTTGCGCTTATAGCAGACGTCACAGGAACGCCTCTTGTTGTTGACCATGGCGTATGATGGACACCTTTGGCCGGGTCCAAAGATCAAAGGGACTATCAAGTCTCAAATTGGATGGCATGAAAAGAGCGCAGGAAAATGATGTGCAGGATCTTGGATTGAAACAGAAAAATGCTGCTCAGACTCTGAGGCTCCCAGTCGTCTGGTTCCCGCTCCACACACCTTGGCTCCTTGAACACAAGCCTGTCTGTGTGTATCAGGTCCAGGCTCCGAGATGCGTCTCGGGATAAGGGAAAGTTCAGTATTACCAATATGTCGGGACCGACTGTCCAAAAACTCCGTCAAAGGGGGTCTAGACGTGAGTCACGGCTCTTTGTTCTCTTTCGCCTTATTACAACGTCAAGGGCAACGCAGCTTTGCTTCTAGAAGCTGGACGGTTGTCAAATTGTGGAGAGGACTGCAAACGGGAAAAGCGATATCGCCGATGACTAAGCGCGCTTTCGGACAGCGAACCCTCCGTGGGGCGCCGTGCTGGGGTCCCGACTTCCCCGGTTCATGGGCAACAAGTTAGAACCACCTGAAATTAGCGAGTGCGAGCTTTGGAGTGGAATTGCGTTGTGACTGATTCTTATACGGTTTTACGACCAGCGGCGCTTTTTTGAAACGGTTGCTGGAGTTGCCCCGCGCCCTGGTGAAGAAGTAGTGAATGACGTGTTTCACTGCCATGACGATATAAGACAACTTTTCGGAACTATCCGTGCTAGATCCAAACAAGAAGAAATGCGACCCATCCCAACTATTGCGCAAGTGAAGGGCCGAAGCTCGCATGCTAAGAGTCGTTTAACGTTGGTCTCGAGATGACCAATACCAAAACAAGATGACGGCTGCCATAACGGCGGCACACTTTGAATAAATGCGATGCGATCAGCTTCATCTGCTCGTGATTCCACCAGCAGAAATAACTATATTCAGACACCAAAAAAAAAAATTAAACCCCTGTCGCAGGGCTTGGCGCCACTAACGTACGAAAGTAACCTTGGTGGCTGCATTACCCGTACATGTTGGGCATCGGTGCCGACCATCTGATTATCCGCTTAGTCATGCCACCAGTTGCGGCATCTCGACGGTTGACTCGGTCCCGAGAAATGCAAGACGAGGGGTAAAACCGAATAAATTGGGAGAAAAAATAAAGAAGCGACAGACCAACGGATCTGACAAATATAGATTCTCCGGGACCAACAGGGGCTTGCATGTGAAGATGCGAAACGACAGCCCTATGGCAAATGTCGGACAAGGCTCGATGCCGATGGCCGGTTAACGCCGCAGGTGCCGGGGAGACAACGCGTATGTGTGGCCCCAATTCATGTATTTCCACTGTCTGATTAATCCATCCCGCCTATCCCGCCAAGTTCTCAACTAGTTTGTAAATTACGAGATTCACGTTGGATCTGATTAGACTTGTTGGGGCTGCAAGGCGGGCTCTGTTATTGTCATGGCGTTGCGTGGGGTGACTAAGCGGTCTTTCAGCTCTTACCGCCGGCCCTTGGGTGCTTCCCAAAGAGGAAATTTCTGGTACTGACGCCGCCGGGCTGGGGACCGCGTTACCCACCACCGCTGCGGCGGCGCTGTCTCCAGTGTGAGCGCGACGGAAACTTTTTTTTTTTTTTTTTTAAATCCCTGTGTCGTTAGCTCTGATTTCCATTGTTTTGCCTTGGGTCGAGGAATTACCGCCGAATACTACGTTTACGACGGGTTGGGCGTTTTGCGGAACCCGCTCTTGACTTTTGTCCGCCACGCCGCCGGATCCTTCATGTGAGCGGCAAGTGCCTGCTTTTTTATATGACGAGCCTTCTGCATCATTTAAAAGATTTCCGTATCCCATATTTTTTTTTACGACCCCTGATAGTCTTTCTTGCTATACCCTCTATATCCATCATCCTCCCGTATTTGATTTGTTTTCTTTTTTCTTCCTCGGCTATATTGTACCCCTCGTCAGCATACCTACCACACACCATTGAATATAGCCTTGAAACTTTTTTGACAACACCTCGCTCACCATGGGGGGCTCCGAGACGCCCACCCTCGACGGCACCGCCGCCGCCACCAGCGGCAGCAATGATTGGCATCTCAAGCACAAGGTCGTGGCGACCGACGAGCGCGACCGGGCGTCCAACTTGCCGCGCCGCGAGCTCGGCGTCACCTGGACGGACCTGACGGTCGAGGCGGTCAGCTCCGACGCCGCCATCCACGAGAATGTCGGGTCGCAGCTCAATATTGTGCAAAAGATTCGCGAGTCGCGCCAGAAGCCGCCCATGAAGACCATTCTCGACCGCGTGCACGGCTGCGTGCGGCCCGGCGAGATGCTGCTCGTCCTCGGCCGCCCCGGCTCCGGCTGCACCACGCTGCTCAAGATGCTGGCCAACGACCGCCGCGGCTTCGCCAACGTGGCCGGCGACGTGCGCTTCGGCTCCATGACGGCCGACGAGGCCAAGCGCTACCGCGGCCAAATCATCATGAACACCGAGGAGGAAATCTTCTTTCCCACCCTGACCGTCGGGCAGACCATGGACTTTGCCACCCGCCTCAACGTGCCCTTTACGCTGCCGCAGGGCGTCGAGGACCGCGACAAGCACAAGGAGGAGGCGAGGGACTTTTTGCTCCAGTCCATGGGCATTGAGCACACGCACGATACCAAAGTCGGCAATGCGTTTGTCCGCGGCGTCTCAGGAGGCGAGCGCAAGCGCGTGTCCATTATTGAGTGTTTGGCCACCAACGGCAGCGTCTTTTGCTGGGACAATTCCACTCGAGGTCTCGATGCCAGCAGGTACGTTGTTTTTTTCTTCTTTTTCTTTCTTTTTTTTTTCGTTTTTTTCTTTTCTCCTTTGCCACATCCGGCATACACGAAACTAACATGCTCGCAGTGCTCTCGACTACACAAAGGCCGTCCGCGCCTTGACCGACGTCCTCGGCCTCTCGTCCATTGTCACGCTCTACCAGGCCGGCAACGGCATCTACAACCTCTTTGACAAGGTGCTCGTGCTCGACGAGGGCAAGGAGACGTTTTACGGACCCATGGCCGAGGCGCGGCCCTTTATGGAGGAGCTCGGCTTCATCTGCGAGCCCGGGGCCAACGTCGCCGACTACCTGACGGGCGTCACCATTCCCTCGGAGCGCAAGGTGCAGCCGGCCAAGCGCGACAAGTTCCCGCGCACCGCCGCCGCCATCCGCGAAGCCTACGAGGCCTCGCCGATCTGCGCCCGCATGGCCGCCGAGTACGACTACCCGACGACGGCCCAGGCGCGCGACCGCACCGCCGACTTTGAAAAGTCGGTCGCCCTCGAGAAGCACAAGGGCATCCCGCGGAGCAGCCCGCTGACGGTCAGCTTCCCGCAGCAGGTCCGCGCCTGCGTCGAGCGCCAGTACCAGATCATCTGGGGCGACAAGCCCACCTTTATCATCAAGCAGGTCACCAACATCATCCAGGCCCTCATCGCCGGCTCCCTCTTTTACAACGCGCCGAGTAACACGGCCGGTCTGCTCTCCAAGTCTGGCACGCTCTTCTTTTCTCTCCTCTACCCTACCCTGGTTGCCATGTCTGAAGTGACGGATTCCTTTAATGGAAGACCGGTCCTGGTCAAGCACAAGTCCTTTGCCTTTTTCCACCCTGCTGCATTCTGTCTCGCCCAGATTGCCGCCGACATTCCTGTCTTACTCTTCCAGACGTCCACGTTTTCCCTGATTCTCTATTTCATGGTCGACTTGGAGCGCACCGCTGGGGCCTTCTTCACCTACTGGATCATTGTCGTGTCTGCCGGCTTTTGCATGACGGCACTGTTCCGTGCCATCGGCGCCTTGTTCAAGACGTTTGACGATGCTTCCAAGGTGTCCGGCGTCGTCGTCACTGCCGCCTTTCTCTACGCAGGTTTCCAGCTCCGAAAGCCCGAGATGCATCCCTGGCTGGTCTGGGTATTCTGGATCGACCCCCTCGCGTACGCCTTTGACGCCCTGCTCTCCAACGAGTTCCACGGCAAGATTGTCGATTGCGTCGGAAACAATCTCATCCCCAGCGGTCCCGACTACGCCAACTCGACGCACAGTGCGTGTGCCGGCATCGGCGGCGGCAAGCCCGGGACGTCCTTTATCCTCGGCGACGACTACCTCGCCTCGCTGTCCTACAGCCACGCCCATCTCTGGCGCAACTTTGGCATCGTCTGGGCTTGGTGGGCGCTCTTTGTCGGCGTGACAGTCTGGGCCACGTGCCGATGGAAGTCGCCCTCGGAAAACGGCCCGAGCCTGGTGATTCCCCGCGAGAACAGCAAGTACGTCACCATCAACCCCAACGCCGACGAGGAGAACCTCAACGCCAAGGAGCTGCCCGTCTCCACGGACGCTACCCCCTCCAGCACCGAGGAGGAAGGCAGCAGCGACCCTCTTCAGAACAAGCTCGTCCGAAACACGTCCATCTTTACGTGGAAGAACCTCTCGTACACTGTCAAGACGCCCTCGGGAGACCGTCTCCTGCTCGACAATGTCCAGGGCTGGATCAAGCCCGGCAATCTGACGGCGCTCATGGGATCCTCGGGCGCCGGCAAGACGACGCTCCTCGACGTGCTCGCCCAACGCAAGACGGACGGCACCATTACCGGTTCCGTCCTCGTCGACGGCCGCCCGCTCCCCGTCTCCTTCCAGCGGTCGGCGGGCTACTGCGAGCAGCTCGACGTGCACGAGGCGTACGCGACGGTCCGCGAGGCGCTCGAGTTCTCGGCGCTCCTCCGCCAGAGCCGCGAGACGCCGCGCGAGGAGAAGCTCGCCTACGTCGACACCATCATCGACCTGCTCGAGCTCAAGCCCCTCGCCGACACGCTCATCGGCGAGGTCGGCGCGGGCCTGTCCGTGGAGCAGCGCAAGCGCGTCACCATTGGCGTCGAGCTCGTGTCCAAGCCCAGCATCCTCATCTTCCTCGACGAGCCCACGTCGGGCCTCGACGGGCAGTCGGCCTACCGCACCGTCAAGTTCCTGCGCAAGCTCGCCGCCGTCGGGCAGGCGGTGCTCGTCACCATCCACCAGCCCTCGGCGCAGCTCTTTTCGCAGTTTGACAGCCTGCTGCTGCTCGCGCGCGGCGGCAAGACCGTCTACTTTGGCGACATTGGCGAGCACGGCCAGACCATCAAGGACTACTTTGGCCGCAACGGCTGCCCCTGCCCGCCCGACGCCAACCCGGCCGAGTACATGATTGACGTCGTCTCGGGCAACAGCGTCGACAGCCGCGACTGGAGCCAGATCTGGCTCCAGTCGCCCGAGCACGACAAGATGACGGCCGAGCTCGACGCCATCATCGCCGACGCCGCCGCCAAGCCCCCCGGCACCGTAGATGACGGCCACGAGTTTGCCACGCCCATGGCCGAGCAGATTCGCGTCGTCACCCACCGCATGAACGTCTCGCTCTGGCGCAACACCGAGTACGTCAACAACAAGGTCATGCTGCACGTCTTTTCCGCCCTCTTCAACGGCTTCTCCTTTTGGATGATTGGCAACTCCTTCAACGACTTGCAGGCCAAGATGTTTGCCATTTTCCAATTCATCTTTGTCGCCCCCGGCGTGCTCGCCCAGCTGCAGCCGCTCTTCATCAGCCGCCGCGACATTTTCGAGACGCGCGAGAAAAAGTCCAAGACGTACTCGTGGTTCGCCTTCACCACCGGCCTCATCGTCTCCGAGATGCCCTACCTGGTTCTGTGCGGCGTCATCTACTATGTCTGCTGGTACTACACCGTCGGCTTCCCCGGCGCCTCCTCGCGCGCCGGCTCAACCTTTTTCGTCATGCTCATGTACGAATTCCTGTACACGGGCATTGGCCAGTTCATTGCCGCCTACGCGCCCAACGTCGTGTCTGCCACGCTCGTCAACCCCCTCATCATCGGTGTCCTCGTCTCCTTTTGCGGCGTGCTGGTGCCGTATGCCCAGATCCAGCCGTTCTGGCGCTACTGGATCTACTATCTCAACCCCTTCAACTACCTCATGGGCAGCATCCTCACCTTCACCATGTGGGGTCAGGACGTTAATTGCAGAGAGAGCGAGTTTGCGCGCTTTGATCCTCCCAGCGGCCAGTCGTGCAGCCAGTATCTCGATTCCTATCTCCACTCGCAGGGTCCTGGTGCTGTCGCCAACTTGGTGAATCCCGATGCCACGTCGGACTGCAAAGTTTGCACCTACACCAAGGCCCAGGACTACCTGCGTACCCTCAACCTGAATGAGTACTACTATGGCTGGCGAGATGCGGCCATTGTTGTCCTCTTGGTATTCAGCTCTTACATCCTCGTGTATGTTCTGATGAAGCTACGCACCAAGAGATCCAAGCAAGCAGAGTAATGAGCTCTTTGCCAGACAACCCTTCGTTTCTGTCGTTTTTTTTTTTGTCATTAGACTATAGAGTTCGCACCATCATCTCCGAGAACAGAAGGAGAGGAAAACTGCATTGTACACAAGAGCATATATCAGCATTAATAGACCATGTATTAGAAACATTTTCAAACAGTCATTGCTGACTCGTCTCTCTTATGCCCACCAAACCTAGCCTGGGCTGGTATGACTAGTTTGGGGTGACGGCTCCTTCCTCAGCCCTCCGCTGTCTTGAAGCGCTGACTGACTCTTTACCTATCCTCAAACACCGAGAGCATCATGCCTCCAACGATTCACCTGATTCGCCAATGTCGAGGGGCACCACGGTACCTACATTTCTACGTACACGCAAATGCAAAATAGGGGTCCTCGGCCATCACTCGATACCCAGCCAAGCCTTTGAGTCTGGATCTATCCAGACACCGACAATATCGCAATGTGTTGAAGTCGTGGCTGGAGAATGGAGGTGTGGGCCACAGCAACCAGTTAAGGTGCTGTGACGCCAGTCACTAATCATGAACTAAGAAGGGGAAAGGGTACCAACTTTAGCCCTTATTTATTATCTAAAAGTAGGTACCTTCTACCTAAGACCTTTCTTTAAGTTTAGATATAATATAATAGAATTGTATTACCTAAAACCTTATATCTACTAATTACACAATATCTACGGCTCTAATTTACTAATTTACTAATCGTAAGCCTAGAGACCTATCTACTAAGATAATAGTTATCCTCTTAGGCCGTGATCTCGGGCTTTTTTTCTTATTTTATCTGACCTATGAAAAAACCTTGGTAGGTCGCTAAGAGTACCTACGTTAGCTCATTTTAATAGTATAGGTACTAAATAGTAGGTGTGCGAAAAAAATCTTGGTTGCTCTACATCCACGGTTGATCTAGAGCTACTCCCAAAACAGTCTTCACTGTACATGACCGCCTGGTATTCTAGCACGTTCCCAATTTCTGTCACCCTCACGCTTGTCATCCTGCTTCATCAGGTGCATCATACGCCCCCAGCACATCATACCGTTGCGACCCGTACGCTCCTTCATTTCCCAGCTGCCACCAGCTGAGAGTGAGTGATTGGCCACCCATATCTCCTCAAGAAAAGGCTCGCCCTCCCGCACTGTGCGATGGGGGTTAAACTCTGGACGGCCCTTGAGCCATGTGCCGAGCAGCTGAATCGGGATCCAAATGCGCTCCCAGCGTTTGCTTAACAGAATCCACGATAGCAGATTGGGCTTGTAAGTGACGCGCACATATGGGTTGAGAAAGGTGTCTGTGTCGATAGCACCAGCATTGAGGGCAACGGTTGTAACGTCGGCAAGGAAAAGACAGCATTCGCACGAGTCGGCAAATATTTCCGGCTCATACCGAAATCGGATTGGCAGCTCAACAGGCTTTGGCGAATCAGGATCGATGACATGAGCTGCGACGTCTTGAAAGTTGGGCGTAGGCAGCGACGTGGACTTGGTGTTTTGTACCCATCTTGCCTGCATCGCGACCATGCCAGACCAGCAAGTACTGACGCGGACGGCGTCGGTTTCGCCTAGCATGTCACGGCGGGAGATGGCGTCACCGGCTGTAGTGAAGACTGGGTACTCTTGAGAGCCGACGCCATAGCCCTGGGCATCGCGCGCAGCGTAGGAGTCATAAAAGATGCCTGGCGAATCGTAATCCATGGCGCATGCGGACAGGTAATGGGTGCGGCCGGTGTCATCGGCATTGGTGGAAAAGAGTAGGTGAGCAGCATCAACGGGGCGATAGTAGACATCATTGAGGTACAGAACCTTGTCGAATGCGCCAATAGACTCGTTGAAGCGGTCGAGGGGCCACATGGCTCGATTGCGCAACTCGGTGAGATAAGCCAGTCGCTTCATTCGCTCAGATCCGTCGGGCATGGTGACGTTGGGAAACTGTGAGAGATCCAGGTGCTCCTCATGAGCAAGCTCGTTCCTGCAAGGTAGTCGTTGGCGGAAGTTGTGGAGAGCAGCCGTACCGGCCGGCGCATTATCATTCTCGTAGATGGAAACAAAAGCATTTTCAGGACCGACAAGATGAATGAGGTCGAGCATTTGCTGGCCCCATTGCCCGCCCAGCAACTGGCCATATTTGTCGTACATGGAGGCCACAATGAATATTTGCTCCTTGTGCGGATTGGCGCAGCCAGCTTTCGGGTAGGGGCCGGCGCATCTTTGTTCGAGTTTTATATACTGAGGCGGAGGATTTGTGTGTGAAGGGAAGATGACGAGGACGGAGAAGGCTATGATTGTGAAGCTGAGAATGTAGAGCTTGAAAAGGAGTATGAGCTGACGAGGAATGGTGCATCGAATTTTGCGACGGAAGAAGCGAGCCGCACAGCAGCCCAAGAATCCTATTGGCGCCGTGGCCGCAGCTAAGGGCGACCGCGATCTGGTGGCGCTCTTATCGTAGGATCTGGCCGTGAAGGTGTTGCGACGAGGCTCGCCGGTGGCCTCTTCGAGTTGAATGGGGCTCTCGAGCCAGTCGGCAGCCAGAAAAGGCTCGGTCTCGTCCCGCTCTCGAGACGAAGAAGGCATTGCGCCAACTATAGGTTTGACGGCGAGGTTATAATATGTCGGCGGCGAAGAACATGAGCCGGAGAGCTTCGAGTCTTGGATCGGAGCTAAGCCGTTTGAGTTTAGGGATGCAGTGAGTCGATCGGTCGGCGGTCGATGATTTGGTAGGTAAAGCCTGGGTGGCGGCGAGAATGAATGACTGAAATGAATGAATAGTATCGATAATTGAGCGATGAAAATTGGTTGAGAAATGAAGGTAGCAAGAAAAATAATAAAAAATAAAATAAAAATAAAAGGATGTACAAACGGGCGTAGCTCGCCCTGAATCGTCGGGAGGAGAGTCGGCAGCTGGCAAGAAAAAGAGCAAGAGCCAGATGTTCCTGCACCAGCCACAGTATCCGTATTGCGGCGCTGATTCAAGCCCGGGGAAGCTTCGCTTTGCAAACGACAGGGGCAATGAAAAGGCCAATAACTAAGGCGTCGGGCGCATTGATAAGGGGGGATGGGGCGGAGGGGGTACTAGGCCGCTAATTAATGGCCCTGGTTGCGAGTAATATCTTTTTTTATCCCAGGTTGAGAAATTGAGAGGGCAAGGCTGCAGGCTTTGAACCAGTATTTCGTGCGAGTTATTGACAGGGTTCATATTTGGGAAAGTTGGGAAAGACGAGTAATAATGTAGGTTGTCGACTCGAAGATTGTGGCGGTGCTTTGAAAATATCTGTCCACGCAACACGGTCTTCTGCCACGCGGCCTTTACGATTATTCAGAGTAATGCTAGGGGAACACCATTACGTTGTTATGTACGAATAATAGAGAGAAAAATATAAAAATTAACCTAACCTTAATCATTCACCCGTGAACCTAAACATCGCTCGCGAAGCAAGCTTCGTACCTAAGTCTTAACTTGTTTTGACGTGGTGGGAGCTTGAGGCTAAATGGATGAAATAAAAAAGTACCTACTAAATAAATAACAGGTAGGTATGGTGGGTTCCTCTGCAGGTCGCAAGTACCTGTGCCATTCCCCTAACAACACTCTACTATTAACTATTCTTTCTGTTGCGTGGCAGAAGCAACGCCAGCCGCAACAAAGGAATGGAAAGGCTCTTGTCCAAAACAGAAAAGAACCAAAAGGACCAAGCCAAAGAACGCGTGGCCCTCACGCACTTACCTCGCTGGTCTTGCGGCTCCCCGGAGGAAACACCGCATCATGACCCCCTTTTGGTGTCATGGACGTCTGAGCAACAAGACAATAAACAGTATGAAAATTTACTAGTTGGGCAATCCACGATCCTTCACATTGGACCCATGAGCTCGTGACCGCCAACATTTTCCCCAGTAACTAGCATCAGAAGACGAAAATGACGTGGACACCTCTCGCATTCACCGCATTAAAAGTCACTCCACCCCTAGGGCGCAATAGTGCCGATCAACCAACCGCTTATTAGTTGGGGCTGAGCAGAGTGCGCCCCTTTCTTAAGCGCCGCCCTTTATTAATAACGATAATAGCCCTATTGGCGCTCTTGAGGCCACTTGGAATCGGACGACCCATTCCCTTTTTACTTGGAGCGTCTTACAAGTCAAGTTCCTCTTCGGAGATCGTTCCGGGGCCAAGGCGACTAACTCGCTTGCTTGGCATGACTTCTCTGCACCTCAATTTGCGTCTCATCTGTGACTAGCAGAATACGGCAGCAGCCACGGGATGCGTCCCGCGAGAAACATCGGCTATCTGTCCCGAAAGTCACCGCCCCGTACTCTTCCACATCCCCGAATAGCAGTTCGTAATACAGGTGCGAGATGGAATTGTAAGTGCGGACCGAGACATGCGCAAATTTTCTACTAGCGTCCAGCCTTGTTTTGCGGAATGCGGCGGCCAGAACCCGAGGGGCTTTCTTTTCTTCCTTTTTTTTTGGTTTAAAATTTAAACCTGTCTTGGAATCCGTTTTTCTGTTGCTTATGAACCCACCCAACAGGAAAAGAAGCACATGGTCAATTCTCAGCTTATTTGTACTTTGTAAATCCTGTGCGGGGCGGTCCACTTCCGCTTCGCTGTCGCGCGACGAGCGCAAGCACAGCACGGCGGCATTTACATGTAAGTTAGAGTGACAAGTGCAATATTGCTTACTTTTAGTCACATCTTCACAGCCCGATTGTCAGGCGGATCCACTGGCTGCGTCTCGGTACTGTTCGCCGTATTCGGCCTAACATACAGCGTCTCACTTGATCGAGTTGAAGACTCTCTATCCACATTCCCTTGTCCATCCAGTCACTGGCCACTGCCTTGTTTGATTCGAGTACCATACCCAAGAGATACCTAGGCACGAAGGAAAACATCCCTCTAATTTTCGCCCTGGCCTTTTTTCTCTTGGAACTCTAGTTAGCCTGCGTGATATCCAGCAGCAGCGTTGTGTCGTCTATTATACCAAGCTGCTGACATAATGCGTCGCTGGGGTGACCGACCGTCAACACCACGCGCCAGCTAGACTAGGAGGCTTTTGGCGCAAAGCTGAAGAGCAGGCGGGCCTGTGATTTCATACTCTGCGAGTTTTTTAGCAGACTGTCGTACCTTATCGCATGCCTCGCCAGCTGGGACTCGCTAACCGGCAAACAGCTCTTTTGAGCCTCCTGTTCTGGTTACCCCAAGCGCTAGCTTTGGCGCCGTGTACAATGTTGGATCATCCCTTGTCCAGACGGAGGCCCTGGGCCCTCGTTATGAGCTTGGCGCTATTCTTCTTCATTTCATATTCACTGCTTTACATGAAAGCTACGCCCATACCGCGGAGTCGGGGGCCTTTTTCATCAGATACATACCAATCACAGCAGCAACCGTCCCCGGACCCAGAGCCGCAAAAACAGACCCCAGCCGTGACACCAGCAGCATCAAATACGGAGACTGCTCCTATTACTGAGGACAGTGGCTCTACTCCCAAGGCCTTTTCTGATAAGTCTATTCATCCTATCAAGCATCTCACACAAAATGCCCAGCGGCAGTTGGATCTCGCAGTGTCAAAACAATCAACCACACTAGAAGCAGCCGTCAAAGAATATCGCAGGCGATATGGCATCTCCCCACCACCGCACTTCGATAAGTGGTTTGAATTTGCACATAGCAACAACGTCCAGATGATGGACGAGTTTGACAACATACATGACCTCATCACGCCGTTTTGGGGTCTGAAACCGGCCACAATTCGCGGCCGCGCAAAGGAAGCCCTAGGCTACGACAATTCCCTGCTCGGTATCGCTATCCGCGACCATGCCGTAGCATTCACCGCAGGCGGGCCGGAATGGCAGATGAATGCCACGGTGGGGATGCTTGAAAAGATTCTACCCTACCTTCCTGATATGGATCTCGCTTTCAATCTCCACGACGAGCCGCGCGTGGTGCTGCCTCATGACGACTTGACAAGGCTCGTGGACAAGGCACGCCGTGTATCGATGCCGGCGGCTGCGAGGCAAAACTCACCTGCCAATGATTTCACAGCCACCTCGCCGGAGCTGAGTGAGAAGCAGCGTTTCGACGAGACTAAGCTGACACGCTTCAACAACATTAACCGCCAAGCCACCTGGACCATTTCGCGCATGTCTTGTGCCCCGGATAGCCCTGCACGGATGTTAGAGGACGATGAAGGCACGGACGATGTACGGCAATACGCACTGAGTGAGGCTGGTTTTATATACAATGCCACAGCCATGTCAGATGTCTGTCTGACGCCGTCGCTCAGACAAACGTACGGGTTCTTTGACCGCCCCAACATGTTCAAAGTGACGCATGATTTATTCCCCATTTTCTCGCAGTCAAAGATTTCATCTTACGCAGATTTGGTCTTCCCCTCGCCGTGGTATTGGTACGGCAAAGTCGAGTACAACGAAACGCTGGACATGCCCTGGGCCGACAAGGAGGACAAGCTCTTCTGGCGCGGTTCTACTACTGGCGGCTTCAGCCGCAACGGCGGCTGGAGGCGCCAGCACCGCCAAAATGTTGTCGAAAAGATGAATGGTGCCACCAAGGCTCCCGTCTTCACTGACCGCGCCGCCGAGGGCAGCAGTGCTCATCGCTGGACCGCTGAGCAGGTCCCGCGCGGCGACCACCGGCAGCTGGTCGACGTGCACTTTTCACACGTCGGGCAGTGCGACCCAGGCGACTGCGAGGCGCAGAAGCAATTCTTCGAGGTCAAGGACGTGGTCGACATGCAGCACGCGTGGCGCTACAAGTTCCTGCTCGACATGGACGGCAACGCATTTAGCGGCCGCTTCTACGCCTTTTTGCGCAGCCGCAGCCAGGTCTTCAAGCTCGCCCTCTTTCGGGAGTGGCACGCCGACTGGCTTCGGCCTTGGCTGCACTACGTGCCAATGAGCGTGCAGGGCGGCGACTGGTTCGCTGCGACACACTACTATGGTGCGACGGCCGAGGGCGCGGCCGCGGCCGAGGGCATGGCGGCGGCGAGCAGGGCGTGGGCGGGCAAGACGCTCCGCAAGGTCGACATGGAGGCGTGGTTCTTTCGGCTGCTGCTCGAGTACGTTGAAAGTTCTCCTCCCCCGCCGGATAATGGGAGATAGTGAGGAGTGCGAGAAACGCTGACGAGTTGCCCAGATATGCGAGAGTCATTGACGATAATCGAGAAACGATTGGCTTTGACGTGGTCAGCGCACACAAGAAGCTGCCCCCGCAGGCACCATTGCAAAAATCGAAATGACGAAATTTAAAGATACATTGATGCTGAGGTGTAGTCTGTATATATGGGTTGCTGTTTACATTTGATTACTTGCTGTTGCACCGCGGCGTTTTCTTAAGGATATAGAATCTCTTGTTTGTTGGACATGAGGATGTCAATTCTTTTTATTTTTTTGCATGCCTACAACCAGATACCACGACGATTCAAGACTTACGACTCCAACGTCTACTGTTTGTGCTACATATTATACGCTGGATGCTTCACTTTTGAACTAGGAAGAGATCGGAGAGCTTGTAAAGAAAGCATCTAGAAATCGTCGTCTCTAAATTTACCCCAAGCATTCGCTACCACGATAAATGGAATCCTCTATCGTGATTTTTTTGTTTTTGCTCAACTCCACGATACGCAGGATATACAAATACAGTGAGACTGGCTTCCGCCTTCCCTGCGCACGTTTCTCATCAGTCCTCATCCTCGTCGCCCTCAGCGTCCCCTTCCTCCTCCGGCGAGCGATGCCTCGTGTCAGCTTCGTCGCCGTCCCCATCCTCCTCGGGCTGCTCCGTTGCGGCAGCCTCTTCCTCTTCCTCCAACTCCTCCACCACCTCGTCCTCCTGTTGCGGCTCCTCCTCCTCCTCTTCTCCTTCCTGGTCCCAGCCAAGAGGCTGCTCGCGGTAGCGCTTCATGGCGTCGCGCATCTCCTCTGTGGGATCATCGACGGTGATGTCAAGCTGGTCGACAATCTGTTCCTCCTCGTAGATGCCTGCGGTGCGGGCAATGTTCTTGGTGCGCTGCGGGCGAATCGTCGACTTTTGCATGACCGGATAGTAGTATACGGCCTTTTGACGAGGGTAGCTCTCGTCATCGTTGAAGGCGAGTAGCACCTCGTCCTGGTACTTGGTGGTGTGGTCGAGCTCAGTCTCCTGGGCCGTCTCATACGCGCGGACGCGGTTAAATTGGAAGCAGCCGCCGGCCTGGTCCGTGTACAGCGCATCCTCGTCGTGCTCGGGGTCGTCAACGTCGAATTTGCGGCGGAAGTTCTTGCCGACCTCGGGGCCGTCGCCCAGGTAAAAATCGTAGTTCATTAGGTTCTGAGGCTTGGGGTTGCCGACGGGGTCGGCCTCGTGGGCAGCCAGTGCCGCCTCGTACGCCGCCTCCTCCTGCTGCGTCTTGTCAATCGGTCGAAAGAGACTGCTCAGCAGACGCGAGTCAAACTTGTTGCCAGAGCCGGCCATGGGATTTGTGAGGAATTTGATGGTGACATAGGCGCCCGAGTCGGGAAAGGCGTCCAAGTCCGGGATGAGAGGTGTGACTTCGACGGCCTTGAGGTGCTTTTTGGTTGGGTGTCTGGCGCGCTTGGGATCTTTGAGATCCTGTTCGGCAACGTCAAAGGAGTGCTCAATCTTGCGCTTGATGGTCTCTGGAGCATCGGCGGCGGCTTCGGCTTGGCGCACAACTGGTCTCTTGGCCTTCATCAGCAATGCACGTGGGCTGTTGCCTTCGAAACGTTTCGACGCGAGCGATGAGATGTATTCGGTGCGGCGAAGGAAAGACACGTTGGCTTCTGCAACCTTGGGCTTGCCGAGCGCGGCAATTGGTCTCAGAAGCGGCTTGTCGTGAGGATGCACTGGCGGTGCTTGTGCGGGTGCCTGGAGAGCTAGGCGGCCGTCCCGTTAGCATCTCATTCAAGCATGAAGCATGTACGTATGATCGATTCTCAATAGTACTTACAACTCTCGTCGCCATCAAAAACGCCTGGCATGCCCACCAGGTCTAGGGGCATACCCAGCTCAGCATCGGCCTCAATGTTGAGCGGCTGCTCTCGCGCCAACCTCGAGGCAAATCCTGGCGTCGTATATTGGCCGCTAGAAAGGCCTGTGTTTGGTATGTCGAGAAGTTTGGGAGGATTCGGCGGCGGGGGGAGGGCATTGGAATAGCGAATGCGAGCGATGAAGTCCTGGTGAATCACGCGCTCGCCAGAGCGAGGCGCGGAGGACGACATTGTGAAAGTATTCGCGCGGCAGCGGGTCGTGCTCCGTGAAATCAGTAATCGCTTTTATTAGGTCGATACGGTAATCTTCTCTTTATCGGATAATGCGCGCGTTGACGCCGGCTCGAGATGCTGGTGGCTGGGATGAGGCGCGCGAGGGTTGTTCCAAGGGAAAAGTTGCGCTACCTAGTCGGGCCAGCTGCTGCGTTGGTAGCCACAAAGCCACCCCACGTTCGTAGGAAACCAGCACCACCAAGCACCCGACGGGCATTCCGCCTGTTCATAGTCAGTAGGCCATGCCAGTAAAGATTTCGATACGTCAATCGAAGTTTGAATTAAGTATATTTTCATTAGACAACTTTCTCCCAAACAGCCTGCGATGGTTTGCTAATTTACGCACTCATTCCCGTCTAAATTTGCTCCTTTTTTCCAGAACCCATGACCCGAGTCAAACAGAGCCCAAGACAAACTATTGGTGATAAAAATCCCAGTAGTTGTCTAAACACGATTGATGATATTATACAGTGTTATCTGCTAGCGTAGCGCGCCGATAATTCGTAGCGATTATCGCGGCCTCAGCCACGCGACGAGGCTGAGCGCATTCAGGAGCTCTCTTTGGCGTAGGTGCGCTTGCCGACAGTGAAAGGAACATATCGGTACTTGATCATGTGTTGAATTTGCTTGCGCACTAGAGAAGGGATTAGCGGTTGTCAAGGTGCGGCGCACAGTCAGGAAATTCTTGTACTTACTGGTTAAGACAAAGAGGATCATCCAATACATGACGAGGATAGGCCAGAAGACGGGAATATTGAAGATTTCGAACCATGTGCAAATGAAGGAGATGGTCACGGCGCGAGTGGCCCAGTACCAGAACTTGAACTCTGGCAGGCGACGGATGAACGGTCTAAACTCCTCGTCGCTCTTGGTGGGAAGGCTGCCGACATTGCCATCCTCCATGTCGTTTTCAAGATCATCGTTGGAGGGGTCGAACTTGGGCTGGAGGAAAGCGAGAAACAGGTTGAGCAGGTAGATCCCGAGCGCATATGCGACTGAAGTAGGATCAATGTTAGTTTCACCCGCAGAAACAGTGTGTGATTACTGGGCGCTGCGCGTACCAATATACCATCCTTGTGCGACAAAGATGCGGATGAAGAAGAGGATGAGGGTAACGCCGGTACCGATCCAGCGGTTCATGACGTAGGGCGTGGACTGATCAAGAAGGGCTTGATATTGCTGCTAGATATTAGCAAGGGGTCTCAAAGACGTTGCAGTGCGCATCGTGCGCATCGCGAACGTGAGGGGGGCAACTGGACGGACTCTCTGAAGCTTGGTGGTGTGGACGGTAACGGCCGCAAAGGGCGTCGACTCGGGCTCGGGAGCATCCATGACTGTTGTTATTCGAGGTGAACGAGTGTGTATGGTTCGATGCTGCGATAAGATAATGCGACAGTAACCGATCCGAGGCCTGGTTGACGAGAGAGGAGCAAGTCTGCCTTTGGCAATCGAGAGAGAGAAAAACAGATGTGGCTTGTTCTTGGGCTGGTTGCCACAGAAGCTTCGCCACTGTAGAAGGGGTTCGTCTCGCGCGTTTGTGGCCTCCTTTACTGGGCGCCGTGGGGCAGCTTTCTCTTTTTTTCGCTGGCAGACTTGCGCCAGTACATTCTCGACACGTAGGGCAACTTTGACCAATCAGCGGTCGGCTCTCTCCCATTCGACACTGCCCCTTTGGCGGGTAGGGATCCACAGTGGAAAGGGGGAACTCTGATGGGCCATCACCCGCTCAAACCGCTGTAACTTGTAAGTAGCCCCTGTCGGCGGGAGGCTATCGCTCACTGTAGCGCTCTTGAAGTAGCAAGTCCGATCCGATCTTCGGTCATTACCATCTCTCCGTATTATTACTCTGTTAATACAGGGCAATCCTTGTCTTGGTGACTGTGATCAAGTCTGCAATAACCTTATAACTCTCCTCTCCCTTTCTTATTGAAAATGCAATCTACAGAAAGTCGTTAACAGCAGCAGCCCAACCAAAGCATACTACTATTATATTCTACTCATCAATCATAAAATAGTTCGTTTTTGTTGGCTACCAGCATGTTTGCAACTACCCTTATAGACCACACACAGCTTTATCCGCCGTCTCAGGAACCGGTCAAGTTGACCTTGCCTATCGCTCCCAGACTCTCCAACCACTTTATCAGATCCTCGGCCTTTTGATTCCTGGCTTCGCATAATGCTGTATCTTCTCCCCAGGGAGGGACAAAGTTGATATCTGCACCTTGGCTGTGGATAAACTGTGCTGTCTCAAGTTGACTGCCATGGCAAGCGTTCCAAAACGCACAGTTGGCGTCTTGCTCGCTTGGCCTCGAAACCCCAGCAAACATTGCCTTGACTCTATCCAAGAGTCCCAGTGTAGCGGCATCTTGCAGCGTCACATCCGCCCCTCGCTCGACCAGCCGGTGGGCGCACTTGAGCTGCAAAAAGGCCCTTGCATCAGCCAGAGGAGTGTCGTCAATAATACCGCCTCCAGCATTGATATCGGCTCCAGCATCCAGCAGTATATCCATGACTTCGAGATCATCGCAGCTAGCCGTCCAGTGGAGTGGCGTTTCGGAATGGAGCTTCCCAATGTAGGGTGCGTTGAGCTGGCAGCCGGCCTCAATTAGTATCTTGGCCATCGCGGTATTGTTAGGGAAGTGGCCAGGCCAATCTGTTAGTAGATGTAGAAGCGTTCGTGCGTCGTCGGGAGAGCCAATGTAGGCTGACACAAGTTCGTTTCGCTCAGACAACTGGGCTTCTAAGCTCTTAATGTCCCCAGTTTGGATCGCTTTTGTGACTGCAATAGCTCGCGTGTCCCCGACGGGAATAAATGTCGGACTCATTCTGAAAGTGACCAGGCTTTGAATCTAATTTTGCACGCGTACATCTCGATTCGGTTTCGTGTTTTACTGCAAGCTCCGATGTTGAGTTCAGAGAAGCCACTTGTAAAAGTTGACCACCACAAGAGTATGGGGCCCCGCATATGGCTGCCTAGCAGCGCCAAAACGGACTCAGAACAAGTCGCTATGGTTCTTCCTATGTGTGTGTGACTTTTCAGATTGATCAAGCATGAATACTGGAAACATAAGTAATTCACTGAAGACCCTGCATGGGCCATTCTCATGGCGCCTCTATGGCTCAAGGAATGCCAGTTAGAGAAAAGGACATCCCACAGCAATGACGATTGTCAGATGACAATTGTCAAATCAAACAATGAAGATTTCAAACATATACTCTTCTCGTTTCTTCCCTCTCCTCCCACACAATTTGCATTCAGCGCGCGTCGCGGCTCGTCTTACCAGCGACGCACATGTGACGAGGGGGACTAATAAGTGGCAAGCACTGTCCTCGACGACAAAACCTCGATTAGCTTCGTATGGCGGCGAGTATGTTTCTTGACGAAATGCAATTGGAAATGAACTCATGCTTCGAGAATCATGGTTTATTTATTTCATTATGCCAGGCACAGCAACTCTATGCCTTGGTCGCTGCCATATCTTCCCCGGCCTGTTCCGGACTAAAGACCCAGCCTAACAAAGCCGACGCTATCCAGCTGCCGTTGCCGAATCGCAAACAATCGCATCCCCGCGCCCGCCCGCTGTTCAACATCATCCATCACAGTGCTTCTTAAACCGACGGGACCTGCCTTGACACGGTTTATCCATCGAAATTATTGTGCAAACATTCAATTGAAATTTCAAGTTTCGTTTCGCCCATCATGAACGCTTTCCGCTGCTTGCGACCTGTCGCCCGGGTTCCTTTCCAAGCTTCGACGCTGCCTCGCATCGCCCGCTGCTACAGCTCCAAGACCTACGAATACATCCAAACTTCCACCCCCAAGCCTGGCGTTGGCCAAGGTGAGCACCTGCAATTTTCCTGGCAGAGAAAGCTTTGGCCTTGGATACTGCTAATCCGAGTAGTCACTCTTAACCGTCCCAAGGCTCTCAATGCCCTGTGCACTCCGCTCATTACCGAGCTTAACGAAGCTCTCAACGAATTCAATGCCTCGCACGAAACCAATGTCATTGTCTTGACTGGCTCCGAAAAAGCCTTTGCCGCCGGTGCCGACATCAAGGAGATGGCTCCCCTCACCTTCTCCGAAGCCTACACCAAGTCCTTCATCGAGTCCTGGTCCCTGTTGACCACCCAGATCAAGAAGCCCATCATTGCTGCCGTCTCTGGCCATGCCCTTGGTGGCGGCTGCGAGCTTGCCATGATGTGCGACCTCATCTACTGCACCGAAAAGGCCAACTTTGGCCAGCCGGAGGTTAAGCTCGGTACCATTCCCGGCGGCGGCGGCAGCCAGCGTCTAACCCGCGCCATTGGCAAGGCCAAGGCCATGGAGCTGATCCTCACCGGCCGCTCATTCTCCGGTGCTGACGCCGAGCGATGGGGCGTTGCTGCTCGCACGTTCCCTACCTACGAGGCTCTGATGGAGGAGACGCTGAAGCTCGCCGAGACCATTGCTGGGTATTCCAAGGTTGCTGTCCAGGCTTGCAAGGAAGTTGTCAACAAGAGCCAGGATCTTCCTCTTCGCGATGGTGTTGAGTTCGAGCGACGAGTCTTCCACAGCCTGTTTGGCAGCCAAGATCAGAAGATTGGCATGAAGGCCTTTGCCGAGAAGAAGAAGGCTGAGTGGTCGCACTCTTAAATCAAAATGTACCACTAGCACCATGTAGATTCGAATTGGGCCGCATCAGCTTGTCATCTGCCGCATGCATAGCCTCCACACTGTAGAGATCCTGTGACCCGCACGCGACATGTGAGCTCGAACATGGAGGTGACGCTGTAGTGGCAATCCGAGATCAGGCAGAGATCGCATAAACGCTTGAGAACCTCAGCACCGCATTTGCTTTCTGGCGCTTCCTCGTCACCTAGTTAGCGCCAAGCTCGAGTCTGTCTATTCGTATTTTTTCAACGCGTGGATACAATTTGTTCGTCAAAGGCTGCATAAATCCAAGGCCCACCCCCGCCACCGTCAGGCCAGCGGGCCTTGACACACAGCACCGCCAAAGTTTACTGTGCCACCAACGAACGCTGTTTGTTTTTCTGGAATATTCGTGTCTGTGGTCAGGAAGAGGAATTTATGCAGTGATTCCAGGCAAGGTCATGCATGAATGGATCTTCGAAGACCAAGCGTCGACCTGGCTGGGGAGCTTACGTGCTCGGTGAGATTTCCCAACTGTACCCCGCCTGTACAGTCGACCTCTTGCTCATCCTTTCCTCATCATAGATTTGCACGGAGCTCCTGTACCAACCCTTGACGCTTCTTGACTGCCTGCATACCTTCTGCGGCGCGTGTTTAAAGGAGTGGTTTAGCTTTCAAAAGGAAAAAGTAGATCGCGCACCGAGCCCACCAGCTCCAGATGCCGTGCTCTTTACCTGCCCGTCTTGTCGGGCGGCAGTTCGCGATACTAAGCACAACGCCACAGTGGTCACGCTTTTGGACATGTACATAGCGGCGAAGCCCAACAAGGCACGAAATCCTGAAGACAAGGAGGAAATGAACCAAAAGTACCAGCCAGGAGACCAAGTCATCCCTCATGTCACCACACGTGAGCGCACCGCAGAGGAGCGCCGCGCAGAGGAGGAAGACAGACGTCTGGTAGATGAGGTGCGTGAGATGAGTCTTCGAGAGGCAGAGGGCGGTGTGCCATCAGTGCCGCCACGAAGACGTCGCGGAAGCAGGGTCGCCGAGGAGCGCATCTCTAGTCGCCGTGCAAGAGACGACGGTCGCGCTCGCAGGGGAACGAACCAGCTTGGCCTGCTCAACGACGGGCATCGCCGGCGACGAAGCGAATCTCAGCAGCGCCAAGTCGGACACCAGTCCTCACTCAGGTCCCTCATTAGCAGTGCAGACTTGAGCGAGCGCGATATCGAGAGAGAAATTGAGGAATTTGCGCGGCAAATACAGGAGGAAGGTCTACTTGACGGACTCGACTTGGACAATATTGATCTCACTCGCGATGATGAGCTCAGTCGTCGCATCACCGAGGCATATCGAAGGCGACAGAGAGGCCGCGCTACAGCTCAGCCTACTCGCCGGGACAGCCCAACAACCCGCAATGAGGCTAATGCTAGTACACGGAATGGAGATAGTCGTCTAGATCCTCGCCCTCGTCCACTCGAAATCCACAGTCCGTCACGAAGTCGCGAGGGCTCCAGCTCGCGACCGGCCACTGGCAGCTCTAGCACTGAAGAACGGGACAGGCGCCCGCCAAGGAGCCTCGAAGTCCGAGATCCTCAGATTCGACCGCGGCGCCGGACAGCTAGCGATAGCCGTGCAGCTACTTTGCCGGTCGTCCCAACTGAGCTCCCGGTTCGGCCTGCTGCCCGCTCTCAGACCGACTTGACGCTCCCGAATGAGCGGACGGCATCTTCCACCCTCCGACCAAACACGTCCGGAGTCAGAAGCTCCAGTGTTCCTTCCGCACCGGCGGAACTTCCGGCTTCAAATGCTACAACCGGCTCGTCGTTTGCCAGTCGGTTGGGCCGACCATCAACGACACCAAATGACCCCCCGCGCGCTGCTCCAGATCAACCGCGTGCTTCTACAGATCGATCGCGCGCTTCTACAGATCGACCGCGCGCTTCCAGTGCCAGTAGACCAAATAGAGCGGCCGAGCTATCCATTGTCCACTCTGCAGCTACCACTCCGGCCGCGACTAGTCCGGTTCCATCTGGTCACCGGAGAACTATGTCGCAGTTGTACCCCGAGCCGTCCATCACTTGTATGAGATGCAACAAGACGCATATCGAATATGAAATACACTATAATTGCGGCATCTGTGCAGGCGGTCACTGGTCCATGTGTTCAGATTGCTACCGATCCGGCAAGGGCTGTCAGTACTGGTTTGGCTTTGGGCACGGCGGCTGGAACAAATGGCGCAGGCGTCGCCAGCAGCGTGGTGACGACTCCATGGCTCCTCCGCACATACTGACACCCAGTAGATACCAGCCGCCACCGTCAACACCTGGCGGTGCTGATGGTCGCAAGACACTGACGATGGATGACCCGCAGCTGAGGCTCGAGAGCGGAACATTTTGCGCCAAGTGCCAAGTATGGGCAAACGATTGCTACTGGCGATGCGATATCTGCAATGACGGAGAATGGGGCTACTGTAATAACTGTGTCAACCAAGGTCGCTCCTGTACACACCCGCTACTGCCTCTCAGTCATGAGATACCGCAGCCACACAGCCCCTTGCCTGGCCGCCCAACAGCGGCGAGGATTGTCACAGAGAGCCAAGCCCGGAGTATCAGTCCCTTTAAACCGCTTTCCTTTGCAACAACTTGCGATATTTGCCGCACTACCATCACACCATCTGATATTCGTTATCACTGTTATAGCTGCACGAGCTCTCTAGTCGAGAACGCAGCACCTGGCGACTATGACATTTGCTCGCCGTGCTACGCAGATTTGGTGAACAGTGGCCGGGTTAGTGCGGAAAATGGCCACTCTGGGTGGCGACGATGCCTCAAGGGCCACCGGATGGTGGTCATTGGATTTGCGCCCGGCGAGGTTGGGCACTGGCGATTTATTGAACGCGACCTAGTGGGAGGCCGCAAGCTTCGAGTCGAACCGGTTGCAGACGATAGTCAGCCGGATACACCATCCCAGAAGTGGTCGTGGAAACAAGAGGATCAAAAGCTGGAAAGGCTGGTAACGCAAGAGGTGTCGGCCGCAGCACCGAACAGCGATGATTCCGCCACTTACACGACGCTGTTCCCACCAGACGGCGGCGTTGGCCTACGTGTCTCTGCAAAGTGGGCATGGTTTCCTAGAGAAGAAGCCGACGATGAACTGCTATTCCCACGCGGTGCAGAGATTCGTGAAGTGGAGGATGTAAATGGGGATTGGTACTTTGGCGTTTACATGGGTGCCAAGGGTCTGTTTCCTTCAGGCTATGGTCGAGTTGAAGGTGATGCTTCGTAGAAATGTTGGCGGCATTTCTCTATATGCACCTGCGAATATCTAGAAATTTAGTTGCGAGTTCGATAGAAGTATCAAACATGCAGACTCCACTTGTCAAAGATCAAAAGGTTCGGCTCAAGAGAAGCCCAGATCTTTACACTTCGGTTGTGCAGGGTACCCTCGCGACGAGCCGAAATGACGTGATTGAAGCGGCCGCTTGTGCGCCCCACAATCGGCATGTCGGCGGTTCATTGAAGCACCCTGCGACATTCAGCTCGTAGCTTAGAAATCCCTTGTTATTTTAATCTTTGCAAATTCACATCAATTGGAGGCCAGGCTCAGTCTGCACCACGAAACGCGGGCATCATGTTCCGCATTACTGCCAGACGCCTAGCTGCTGCCGTAGCTGCAGCAGCCGAGCCGTCAGCACATACACTCAAGGTCTCGCAGGCCCAAGGCGTGGCCAACGGCCTGACCGCTGGTAAGTCAACTCAACGGAAGCAATCGCCGAGCGGAGACGGCCTTTCAAATCTGAGAATTAGCTCTAACATACTTTTTTTCCTCTCCGACAATAGCCATTGGCAACACGCCCCTCATCCGCCTGAACAGGCTCTCCGAGGAGACGGGATGCGACATCCTAGGCAAGGCCGAGTTTATGAACCCCGGCGGCTCGATCAAGGACCGCGCGGCGCTGTACGTGGTTAAAGACGCCGAGGAGCGCGGGCTCCTGCGCGCCGGCGGCACCGTGGTCGAGGGCACGGCGGGCAACACGGGCATCGGGCTGGCGCACGTGTGCCGCTCGCGCGGCTACCGCCTCGTCATCTACATGCCCAACACGCAGTCGCAGGGCAAGATTGACCTGCTGCGGCTGCTGGGCGCCGAGGTGCACCCCGTGCCGGCCGTCGCCTTTGAGAATCCGGAAAACTACAACCACCAGGCGCGCCGCCACGCCGAGCGCCTCGACAACGCCGTCTGGACCAACCAGTTCGACAACACGGCCAACCGCCGCGCGCACATTGAGACGACCGGCCCCGAGATTTGGGCGCAGACCGCTGGCGCCGTCGACGCCTTCACCTGCGCTACCGGGACCGCCGGCACGCTCGCCGGCGTTACCCGCTATCTCAAGGACGTGTCGGGCGGCCGCGTCCGCAGCTTCCTGGCCGACCCCCCCGGCAGCGTCCTGCACTCGTACATTGCGTCCGGCGGGAAGCTAAACGAGCGCAGCGGCTCCAGCATCACAGAGGGCATCGGCCAGGGCCGCGTCACCGACAATCTGCAGCCCGACATTGACCTGCTTGACGGGTCCATGACCATTTCGGACGAGAAGAGCATCGAGATGGTGTACCGCTGCCTCGACGAGGAGGGCCTGTATCTGGGCGCCAGCTCGGCGCTCAATGTTGTCGCGGCCAAGGAGGTTGCGGAGAAGCTGGGCAAGGGCCACAAGGTCGTCACTGTCCTGTGCGACGGCGCCTACCGATATGCCGATAGACTCTTCTCGCGCAAGTGGCTTACGGAGAAGAAGCTCATTGGCGCTATTCCCAAGCACCTAGAAAAATACATTGTTCTTGCTTGAGCATCTAGAATCATAGAGGTAATAAAAGTGTAATCTATGCAAAGCTTTTTGTGTGTTGATACATTGTACAATGAGACTCTATTTTACAAGTTTGATGAGTCTTGCTTTTGACCAATCAAGCCTCCACAGCTCCAGCAGTATCTGCCGCTTCCAACGAAATTGCTGGCCAAGACGGCGCGACGCCTGTGATTTTCTCAAAAACTTCAGCCCAGCGTTCGTCGCGGCGCTTAGCTATCGTAGCATGTTGTCCGAGATGATTCCCCAGGGCACTCTCAACAGCGTCAAGTCCTTGAGCCTCGGTCGGTGCCAGTTCGCGGGCCAGAGAGATGGCCTTCATGTTCTGAGCGATGACACTGACAAATGCGGAGCCGTTCAAATTCTTCTTCAAACCCGTCTTCTTCTTCACAACATCGGGGTTCAGGACCGCGAATTCAGAGATAGCATCGAGATTCCCGAGGTCGACGTCCTTCCACAGCGTCTTGACGAGTTCAATCTCGTCCTTTAGCAGAGTCAGCTCAGAAGTAGCATCCTCTCCTGCGGCCTGCTTCGCGGAGACAGCCGAGGCCCGCGTGAACAAAACGAGGCCACGCGCCAGCCGCGATGCGTGAACCTTGTTATCTGCGAATACGTCTTTGTGCATCGCCTGGTCAGGGCTATGTAGCAGGTCGAGAGTCACCTCCATCCATCTTACGGCTTGTGCAGTGCCAGCGTGACCACCGTGAACAATCTTGTTATTGATGGCGGCCAGGAGTCGCACAACCATCTCGTGGGTCTGCAGTCTCATCCCAGTCTTTTCTCCCTGTTTTGCGCACTCAATCACCGTGTAGATGTTGCCCGTCTTCTCAGCGCGGCGGACAATCTTACCCCAGTGCTGATTATGGAGCTTCACGCCAGCCTTCTTGTATCCTGCAAGCAAGGCGCCCAAGTTGGCCCAGTCCTCTGGTGTCTCCATCAAGTTTATGACTTGGTTGAAGCTCTTTTTTGAGTTCGGGATATCCTTGCTGCGATCGATGGAGGAAAATCTGTGCTCGATACCGTCGATTTCGATAATGATGGGGTTGGATTGCAGATGCGCTCGCATATTGGGGTTGAAGACAATTCTTCGCTGCTTCGGAGGTAGATAGGCTGGGAATATGGTTTTTTCTTGGATAGTCTTCAACACTTGGTTCAAATCGGCGTTCTCGGTCTCGACAAAAGTCGCTCGAACTCCTGCAGCTCCTGATTAGCTTCGGAGGCTCTAACTTTGCGACGGTTGAGTTCCTACCACGAGGATTCGTTGTGGTAAATTGCCTAACACACGAAGCGCTCTGTCTCGCTGAAGGCCCATTGGCACGGCCCAAGACCCTGAGGGTCGAAATAAGCGACCGGTTGGACATTTTGTCGTGGTTTTGAAAGTTGCTCTGATCAGCCGTCAGTTCATCAAAAAGCTGGTGCTTGCGGCGACGCGAGACCCAATTCGGGGTGGGTCGGAGAAATGCGCGGACCGGGCCAATCACAAAGAGCGCTGGGCTAGGCTTTTGCTGTGCATTCGGTTTGTAGACTGGCATCATTCTCTGCACCGAATCTAGCAAGACATCACGAATACAGCGACCATGAATTTCGCCGCTGTTGGGCGCCCTTTGGGTTGCCTGAAAACCGCATTGAGGCAAATGAGGCAACAGCGGGAATGGCAGAGGTCGCTTGCTACAGCTGCTGTGCCCAAGACCCCTAACAGCACCAAGTTTATCCTCACAGACCGACAGCGTACGATTTTCCCCTTGCCAGCTTTTCCAATTGCTGTGTAATGATCTAACAGAGTCTCAGGCTCCCGTGAGGAAAGACTCGCACGATTTCAGATTTATCCTGAATTGCCGACCGTTCGAACCAACTTCAAGGACCCTATGCCGGCGCTGCGCCAGGCGCAAATCACAAAGCTGGATCCCACCGGCGCGAGAACTCGTCTGTTCGCAAAAGACCAGGCCGATGCTGCTAAGCCGGGTGATGTGCTGATGGTCAGCACCAAGGCTGGAGAGCCCTTCTCGGGCTACTTGATCGAAATCCGCCGGCGCGGCGCGGACACTGCCATTCTGCTGCGTGGTCAATTGATGAAGACGAGCGTCGAATCGTGGTTCAAAGTGTACAGCCCCACAGTCACAGCTATCAATATCATCTGGAGAAGGCCGAAGAGAGCAAGGAGAGCTAGGCTCACATACATGCGCAAGCCAGAGCACGACAAGGGCAGCGTTGATCACCTGGTTGCGGCATGGAGGAAGGAGCGCTCTACTCTTCGCGCCAAGTCCGGTTCCGGTGGTGTTAGACAACAAAAAGCCAAAAGCAAATAGAATCGTTCTGGCGAGGCTCGGGCGGGGGAAGAGTGTAGGGTGTTTTGAGGGGGTCGCCCTATGCCCTGTATCATGTACCAATATACCATCACATTATGTATACCTGGCCGCGTTGCGGGAATGGCTGCTCAAGTTGTAAAACGAATGGAGACGTATGGTCATCTCTACGTCCGTAGTCAGAGTAATAAATATAGCGAAGCTGTACGGGCTGAGATGGTGTCGCCGGCAGTGATGATGATGATGACGACGACAGCGACAGCAAAAGATCCTACGTTGTGCCATGAACAAGCAAAAAACCACCGAAATGATCGGATTCAGACACGACGATCTGATGAAGAATGAATGTATCGGCCGAATCTTATTGTTGTTATTGTGTAAAACCCCCCTGGTAGCGGTGCCCAAGCGCGCTGGGCCGCCGTGCTCATGCCAGAAATCGCCTAGCGACGCTCAAAAACTGGGAACCACACCAGCGGCAGCCCAGCAACCTAGGCCCTGATGTACAGCCACAGGGGCCTTTGTTTACTTACGCCGCTCTGCCCACCCGATACAAGCTGCCAAAAAGGTCACTTACCCCACGCCGACGCTTGTCCAGCGTCACCATTGACGGACTCGCGCCTTTCCGAGTCTCTGACGACAAATCTTTCCAGACGGACAAGTGACGGCCGGCTGACTTTTGAAGGCTACCTAGCCAGACACAAGACGCATTTATCCTGCAGCTGCTCACTACCACCCAAACCCAGCGTCACCTCACACTGCTCCGAAGCTGCCCTACACCGACATACTGCCAGTGCACCCTGCATGCCTGAAGCGGGTCAGGCCTGTCTTTTGAATTTCCGAACAAGCTTTGTGTAATGCTAAGCTACCATTGCATACTCCGAATACAAACGATTGAGCAAGGTGTCAGTTGGTGTCGAGCTACACACTGCAAACAAAGATGGCGTTCGCCGACCAACAAAGATGGATTACTGTCCAACAAAAGACGTTTACAAAATGGTACGAAGATCTCTGGGAAGTCAGATTGGGATGCCGCTGATATACGCGTGAGATAGGCTCAACGCGAAACTGATACAACGGGATTTGGAGGTCAAAGATATTGTTCAGGATATGTCGGACGGAGTATGTCTGCCCCGCACTTGACTCTCGTTGTTCTACTAACAAATGGTCATAAGGTCCTGCTCATTCATCTGCTCGAATGTCTTTCGAATGAATCATTGGGCCGTTACGCCTCAAAACCGAAACTGCGAGTACAGAAATTCGAAAATGCGAACCTTGCCCTAGACTTCATCCGGTCCCGGGGCGTTCAGATGACGAATATTGGCGCCGAGGATATTGTGGACGGCAACCGGAAAATTGTGCTCGGTTTGATATGGACGCTGATTCTGCGTTTCACCATCAGTGATATCAACCAGGAGGGTATGTCGGCCAAGGAGGGTTTGCTGCTTTGGTGCCAGCGCAAGACGGCATGCTACGATGAGGTAGAAGTCCGCGACTTCAGCGCCAGCTGGAATGATGGTCTTGCATTTTGCGCCTTGCTCGATATCCATAGACCTGATCTTATCGACTTCGACTCCCTGGACAAATTGGACCACAAGGGTAACATGCAGCTTGCGTTTGATCTGGCATCAGAAGAGATTGGTATTCCCAAGCTTCTCGACGTTGAAGACGTAGCAGATGTTGCCAAACCCGACGAGAGAAGTCTGATGACGTATATTGCGTACTGGTTCCACGCCTTCTCGCAAATGGAAAAGGTTGAGAACGCTGGTCGACGAGTTGAGAAATTTGTCAACAGCATGCAAGGCGTCTGGGAGATGCAAAGTACCTATGAGAAGCGTATCGCTGAGCTTCTTAAAAATATCAACGCGCAGAGAGATGAATGGTCGCAGTCCACCTTTGAAGGTACCTATGCCGACGCAAAGGCGCAGGCTGCCGATTTCTCCAAGTACAAGCGTGGCCAAAAGCGAGACTGGGTAGCAGAGAAGAGCGATTTGGCAACTTTGCTGGGAAATATCAAGACAAAACTAGGAACATACCGTCTTCGGCCATATGAGCCGCCCGCTCATTTGAGTCTGAACAAACTCGAGGATGACTGGACAAGTCTATCCCAGAAGGAAATGGGCCGCGCGCAATTGATCAACGAAACCATCCGAGAGTGAGCCACTAATGGAACCAACGCGCGACATATCCACTGACTGTCTACAGTATCAAAAACGCTCTTCGCAAATCATTTGCCGACAAGGCCAACGACTTTGCCATGGCACTCAAGACCATGCAAATGGCCATCTCTGGCCTCGATGGCGATCTAGAAGATCAATTGCATCATGTCAGAAAGCTGAGTAGTAACTTGGCACCTCTCGACAGATATCTCGAGACCATTTTGGATGTAGAGACCAAGTGTATCGAGGCCAACATCGAAGAGAATGACTTTACCACCTATTCATACGACGAGCTTGCATACGAACTCACCTTGGTAAAATCATCTGTTCAGAAGAAACTCGCATTTTTGGAGAATCAGATGGTGGCGCGGAACATGACAAACCTGACGCCCATTCAACTCGAAGAATTTGAAAGCGTATTCCGACATTTCGATCGTGACGACTCCAATGCGCTACAGGGACTAGAGTTCAGCGCTGCCTTGGCATCTTTGGGCCTGGTCTTCTCAGAGGATGAGATGCATGATTACTTCTGGGAGACTTCAGGTGGCAAAGATGAGGTGACTTTTGAGCAGTTTATTCGTTTCATGGTGGACGTGACGGAAGATCAAAATACTGCTGAGCAGGTATTTCAGTCGTTCCGCGAAGTCGCAGATGGGAAGCCCTATGTTACAGAGATGGACCTCCGACACAGCCTTGTTCCGGATGAAGTCATTGAGCAGCTCAACGGAATCATGCCGTTACATACGGGACCGGATATGTCTGCTGATCGGGGCATGCCGCAATACGATTACATTGCGTTTATGGAGAAGATGCTCAACAACCAAAAAGAAAGTGATCAGGTTCCCAGCGGTGTACTGCAGGACAGGACAAACGTGGGGGAATCCGGCCCTCGCAAAGATGGCAAGGCGAACGGTCGGCAGATTTGATGGCATAGGACCACTGACTGTGGCTGGCTCCAAAGCAGCGGGCATTTTACACTCTAATCATAGTTATCGAACGGATATTGTTATGCGCGTTTAGTTATGGTGTTGTGGTGGTGCACAAGACATGGCTATATCATATTATTACATATATCATTTTCCAACCCGAGAATCTAACTAGTAATTGGCCAAATAGCTGGCTGTATCTTATTAAACTCTGTCAAAATCGAAATTTTTTACGTGATTAATGGTTGGCGTGGATCGCGTACTGGGCACAATTACAGGCCACCTGGAACGATATCTTGCATGTGGCACGGTGCGCTAACTTCGGGTTCGACGGTTGAGATGACAATGATTACTCCCCACATTGAAGCATTAAGACCTCAGAATTGCCTTGCACCAGGTTGTGTATTTTGATGAGTCCAACAGGCGATTGTCACTGTCTAGAGCACCGGGCTCGGAGCTCAATGGCCCGCCCGTGCCTGGTTACACATAGCCTGTCCCAGATCCGCTAAGTTAACCTGTCCTAGTTTGATTCTACCAATATCTTTTTCCTAATAGTAAGGCTTCTACTAGAATACTAAGTAAGTCTATATATATTTATAATTAGTAAAGTATTATTTATTATTAATAATTCTTTTTTTTATAAGTTCTTTTTATAAAAGGGGTTTTATTTTATAGTTATTAAAATAAATATGATTCTAATTAAAAAATTATTAAATTGAATAGTTACAATATAGTATATAAAGATAACTAACTAAGTCACGTAATCTAAGCCCACCTAAAAATAAGCAGGTGTGCTATCTATTATTCCTACGTAACGACTGTGACTATAATGACATTCAGGTGATTTTACCTCTTCTCTGTTCACAGCGTGAAGCATCGATTGATTGTCGGTTATCACTTATTGGCCTCTGTAGAATCTGGCGGGATAGCGTTGAGGCGGCGATTTGTCATCGCCGTCGTGAGATGCCTATTTTGGATGGAGCTCCCCGCATTTGGGACTGCATGTTGGTTCCATTTCTGGCAATTCCGTGCATCAAAAGAACCAGCGGCAGTCTCTACGCCGAACGCTGTGTGGGGTTTCGAGTCTCTCTCCATAGTTTCGAATTTTCCTAAATATATACAGATATATGTATATTTTTAAAGCCTCGCCAATGTCTTCTTCTATCCGCCCTTTCAAGCTCTCCATAGCCCAATTCACTCTCGACGACTTGCAAACCCGTCTTGGTCTAACCCGCTGGCCGGACAAGGAGATTGTCACGGACTGGTCCCAGGGCGTCCCGCTCGCGGTAATTCAAGAGCTGTGCGAGTACTGGAAGACAGAGTACGACTGGAGACGATGCGAAGGGCTACTCAACTCGTACCCTCAGTTTACAACAACCATTGACGGAGTTGAATTCTATTTTCTGCACGTTCGGTCAAGGCACCAAGACGCTCTTCCCCTTGTGCTTACGCATGGTTGGCCCGGCTCAATCCTGGAGTTTAGACATGTAATCGACCAGCTCGTCGACCCCGAATCCCACGGCCGCCGCCAGGAAGATGCGTTTCACCTCGTCATCCCGGCACTCCCGGGCTACGCCTTTTCCGGGAAGCCGGCGGAGTAGAAATGGAACTACGACCGCACCGCAGCCGCGTGGATAGAGCTGATGCGGCGCCTGGGCTACGAGGACAGCGGATGGGTAGCCCAAGGCGGCGACTGGGGAGCCCACGTCGTCGCGAGCCTGGGCCATCAAGCACCAAAGGGTTTGAGGAGCGTTCATTTCAACTCAATCTACTTTGAGCCCAAGGCAAGTTGTGCTCTCATCCAAACCTCTGAAAGGATGTACGCTAACCTCCTCTGCAGAAGGAAAGTCAAATTCCAATCCACGATACAAAGGCCGAGAATCGGGCCATGCATCTAGACGAGCGCCGGGATGCTGGGTTTCGCGGCTACTCTCTGCAGCAGTCAACGAGGCCGCAGACGATTGGGTATGGGCTCGCAGACTCGCCGGTCGCGCAGGCGGCCTGGATCTACGAAAAATACAGAGACTGGTCGGACCACGGCGGCAACGTGGAGGCGGTGCTCGCAAAGGACGAGATGCTTGATACCATTATGCTGTACTTGCTCTCCAACTCGGGCACGTCGTCTGCGCGCTACTACTGGGAGAATCAGCTTGACACCACTGCGTGGCCGATAGACGTACCAGTCGGCGTGAGTTGCTTTGGCGGCGACAACAGCTACGCACCAAGGGAATGGTGTGAGAGGTACTACAAAAATATCGTGTACTGGAGCGAGACGGCCCGGGGCGGCCACTTTGCAGCGTGGGAGGTGCCAGACATGTTTGTGTCTGAAGTGCGCGCGTGGAAGAGGAGAATCAAATAACGAGGCTTAAAACGTGCCCCAATAATCAAGGGGTTTTAGCTGATATAATACATAGTAGGAACCTTTTTACTAGAGCGTATCATATTAGGGTTAATACTTGCCCTCCTAGAAAGAAGATTCTATAGCATAACCTTGAAGAAGATTTTAGCCGATATCTTTTATAAATAAAGAAAAATAATTATTAACTTCTAATTCTTTTTTTTATAATTTTTTTTTTGAGATTATAAAGCCTAAATATAATTTATAATATAATTCCATATTAATATTATATAATCGTTCTTCTTAAGAATTAAAGAATAATTTATAGAGATCTTTTTTTATTATAATGAACCTTACTAATAAGGAAGTATTAGCAGAATTTAACTAGTATAGGTTAACTTAGTGGATCTAGAACAGTTTACCTCTGACCTCGTCCGGCGTCCATGCCGACCCGCTATAAACGCAGCGAGATTTCCCGTCGTCAAACGCAGGCATTCGGCAGGCCAACAAGGTCCTCTGCGCTGACGCAAATCTTCACCGGAGCCAATTCTATATTCTCAGAGCCTCAGGATGGTTACTCGCACACGGCTTATCCGAGCGCTGCAGCGGCAGAGTCGTCCGCGTGCTGCGTTCGGTGCCTCACTACCGAGAGCTGCCGTCCTTCCAGCCGCAACTCGCTGCTTCGCGACGTCGCATCCCAGGTTGATTGCGCCTACGCCCGTCTACAATATCGCCAAATTGACGTCAGAAACGTACCCCGAGATCAAGCGCGACGCAAAATTCACCCAATTGACCGAGGAGCATGTCGCATACTTTCGCGAGCTGCTGGGCGGCGAGTCGGCAATCATCGACGGCGTGAGCAAGGATGCCCAGGACGATATACTCATGTTCAATGAGGACTGGATGCACAAATATCGCGGACAGGCGCGACTTGTCGTCAAGCCCAAGTCGACCGAAGAAGTCAGCAAAATTCTCAAATACTGCAACGACAACTTGCTGGCCGTCGTGCCGCAAGGCGGAAACACAGGGCTCGTCGGCGGCTCCGTACCTGTTTTTGACGAAGTTGTGATTAGCATGGCGCGTATGAACGAGATTGAATCGTTTGACCAAGTAAGTGGCTCTTTGGTTCTTGGAGCCGGCTGCGTCCTCGAAGTGGCCGACCAGTATCTCGCAGAGCGTGGCTACATCTTCCCTCTGGATCTCGGCGCCAAGGGCTCTTGCCATGTCGGTGGCAACGTCGCCACAAACGCTGGCGGTTTGCGTCTGCTCCGCTATGGTAGCTTGCACGGTAGCGTCCTCGGTATGGAGGCTGTGCTGCCTGATGGAACCATCATGGACGACCTGTGCACTTTGCGCAAGAACAACACGGGCTACGACTTGAAGCAGCTCTTTATCGGTGCCGAGGGTACGATTGGCATTATTACGAAGCTGTGCATTCAGTGCCCCCAGCGATCGCCCGCCGTCAACGTGGCCTTTTTGGGCATCGAGTCCTACGAGAAGGCGCAACAGGCCTTTCGCGAGGCGAAAGGCCAGCTCTCGGAGATTCTTTCGGCATTCGAGCTGATGGATGGACTGAGTCAAGAGCTTGTGCATCGAGCCAAGGGGGAGACAATGCCGCTAGAAGGTAGCTTCCCATTTTACTGCCTCATTGAGACCAGCGGATCCAATAGCGAGCACGACTATGAGAAGCTCGAGAAGTTTCTCGAAGACGTCATGGGTAAGGAGGTAGTAGCGGACGGCGTGGTGGCTCAGGACGCGACTCAGATCAAGTCACTGTGGGCGTGGCGAGAGAGTGTCCCCGAAGTCAGCGCTCACTGGGGCGGCGTCTACAAATACGATGTGTCCATTCCGCTTGCCGACATGTACAGCATCGTGCCCGACGTAAATGAGCGCCTGGCAGAGGCCGGACTGCTAGGCGACTCTGACGAGTATCCTGTTCTCGGCTGCGTCGGGTACGGTCACATGGGCGATTCCAACTTGCATCTCAACGTCGTGGTCCGACGGTATGATAAGGCTGTGGAAAGAGTTTTGGAGCCGTATGTATACGAGTGGATCGAAAAGCGCAAAGGAAGCATCAGTGCGGAGCACGGTCTGGGATTGGCCAAGAAGAATTATATTCAGTACTCGCGAAACGAGACAATGATTGGCTTGATGAAGCAAATTAAGCAATTATACGACCCGGTAAGTCAAAACTTTGATTTCGCTTCCTCCTCTCGGACGTGTTTCATCAGCCCTATACGCCCCTATCCACCCATGTCGCGGAACATTATAGCTGTCTGACCACTTTTTGTGGGTGTTTGCCGTGACGCGCAATCTTGGTAAAGTATAATTCAACGGAAGAAAAATAGCTAACAATTGCCTTTTGTGGCTCGTCTAGAACGGCATCATGAACCCGTACAAGTACCTGTGATTGTAGCTGGAGGAGGATGAGGCGAAAAAAAAAGGCCCGAATACCCGGATGTAGGAAGGCCGATTGCGCGGAAAGGCGGCGAGGGGGAAATGGAGGTAAGAAACTTGTAAATTCAAGATACTAAGTATGAATCGTATAGAGCATGAAAGATTGTACGAAGTGGTTGCCTGGTTGCCTCGAGGGGTATGCATGCGCCCTGGTGGGAGCGCCGGGGGCCTTGTTGGATGGGGGCCGAAAACAAGGCTTATAGTGGAACAAGCTTTCTTTAGCTGCGATTATAGCAAGAATGATTAGTTAGTTGCAGACAGGCTTACACGGTGACACACCAGATGACTGAAGGGTCAAATTTATAGATGGCATGTGGGAAGTAGGTGATATGATGATCAAGACGCGGTCGTAGTCGGGTTACTGAATAACAGTTCAAGGCAGAATTACATGCCAGAGAAAATTAATACTATTTACTCTAGCTCCTCATTTCCATAGTTTATGTCCGAGTTTCTCCTGCCATTGCCACAGATCTAGTCATCAACCAGAAACCATTTCTGCCAACCATGCACACAAAACGGTGAAAGAGTCACACTCGACCGTATGACGACGCACGAGAGCGTTACATTCACAGGGCTTGGACCGCCGCCTTGGACAACTGGCGCGAGGGTGCACGTACTAGAGTCTGGCAGTGCATTCAGCATTAATTTAGGGCGGGCAGTGTTGCAGTTGCATGGTGGATGCCTGGGCTTGTCGGCTACTGCAGACTGTCATTTGCTGGGCGAGGGGCGAATGCTGCATTAGGAAAAGCACCGACTGAGAGCATATCGCATCGACGGTTCTATTACAGATTACGGTGCGTGCCGGGAAAACTTTTTGACAAGCGTGTTTTTGCAATCTTGAATTCAAATGCATTTACTAATCCGTGTCAAGACGCCTTTTAGACGCAAGCCGCCATGGCTTGGATGGTTCTTCTCAGCCTACACGACGGAAACAAGCACACCACAAGGAAGCGAGACGCTATTTCCCATTTTTACGTCTACATGATGGTAATCTGAATGAACAATGAAGGGCCGTCGGCTCTAGAGCTGCCTCGCATGTAGTAGTGTCTTGATGTCGAGTATACGCAGACTGTACACCCATTGGGAACAGCGAGCACAGTCTCTCGAGGACTCATTATAGCGAAAATTGAAAAACAGAAAAAAAAAAAGTATGGAATCAAGAGTCCGACGGAACTCGCTCCGACAGGCTTCACCTGGGACCCTTGCCTTTGAGTCTGCCTCGTCGGCAATAGTTTTGCTAGGCAAGGCTGATCGACTCGTCAACAACATGGGCCGAGACCAAAAAAAAAAAAGGTTAAAAGAAAAAAAGGGAAAAAAAAAATAAAATAAAAAATAAAAACGGGTTACGATGGGGGTACGGTATTAATTATTAGTGCGACTAGGTGAGAATAAGAGATTCCTTGTCTTTTGGCATCCAAGGCCTCTGATTGACGGGCAAGCTGCAGGAAGGCTACCGCGCTAAGCCGGCATTCATCTTGGTGGCTTGGCCAATTGAAGGCGGCCATCCAGCCTCGTCCGACGAGGCTTTCAGGGAAGCTGAAGCCCTTCTCCGCCGCGCAGCCCCAAGCGAAATTTCTGAGCCAGTCAAATTTGGTAGGGTAGAAAAAAGAAGTTTATCAACTATAACTAATCCAAGGGGGGCCCTTCCTCTGTAGGTATGCTCTAATAGTTGGGAATCCACAAGCCGCGCAAGTCTGCTCATTTTGCGCCCTGAAACATGGTACGATCATGACAAAAAGAGATGTGTCTTTCTGACGCGGCATTTCCCACTATGTTAATGAAGTTAAAATGGTGGTTGCCTTTTTTTATTTTCGCTCACGGGACGTTGGTTCGCGCCCCGAACCGCCTTTCCGCTCCGACACCCGGAAGCCCGGGGAGCTCGAGGTTGATTTCTAATGTAAGCTGCGTTAAGCAGTCAGTCAAACGCACAGCATGACATATTTTTTTTTAGAAAAAAAAATAATCCTAATAAAAGGTAGGTGTCAGCACGACATCTGGAGAAAAAAAAAAGACCGATCTACGGAGAAGATGACAAGCCTGCCTGGCCCAGGCGGTGGTGATCCCCGGCACTCGGTGAGATCCGCATTTTTTTTTCTATCGGAGTTTTGCCTGACAGACAAGGGTTGGTCTTGGGACTCGGACGGCGACCCCTGGGGCGTGGCGTTTTGCACTAGTTATACCAGTAAGGAAGAGAATAAGGGACCGTTGATGAGACGAACAAGAGGACCAGTGGCAGCCAGGGATCTCCTGAGCGACACGCGGCTGACAGAAAAAAAAAAAAAAAAAATCCGTTGGCCAGAAATGGTACTTGGTCCGGGCTACGAGAACAGCCCGCTGGGGGGGGGGGAGAGCCTGGTCCAGCCATTCTGCAAGTGCCGGTTATGAGATCTGATCGTTGGGTCTGGTCCGTGACGGGATTTGGAATGCCCGAGGGCGGGTAATCAGAGAATCCAACGAGTCACGATTTTAAAGTTGTGGTTCGTACTTTGCTCGTTTTTTTTTGTGTGTGTATTATTGTATTATAGAAGGGAATTTCATATCCTGGATGCGCATCGACTTGGTTGTTACGCAGCCTGATATGGGCAAAACACGCTAATATCACAAGTGAATGCCAAACTAACCAACTAACTATCCATAGTTGTTTTTACTGATGATCTAATGCATGTCTCACAGAAAAACTAGCCTTACCTCGAGCATCTTAGTAAACGAGCGTTGTAGAAGCAGCAGGCTGAGAGAAGTGACTGGCGGCCCCAGCCTTTTTCAACCTTTTGAAACCACGCCATCGCGTGGTGAACAAATCAAAAGGCTGTTTAAAAGAGCACATCACATACCTAGTCAGAAAGGGAAGAAGCGACAAACCACCAAAAAAACCACTTCAAGGTAACCCCCTAATAAGGGCCCTTAGTTGAGAAGGGGCCCGTCGTCTTGCGCCCAGCAGCCAAGAAAGACATGGCTCGTGTAATTCTTAAAACTGGAGCGCTAAAAGGCTTAGCACACCCCACTGAAGATTCAGAGACAAGCCATCCAACGGCTGCCATTCGTCCCAAGGTGAGCAGGGTAATGGTGGTACCTGTCGCCCGACAGAAGGGGGGGCTGCCTCCTCCCCTCCCCACTAGGCCCTTCCGCCGGAGCCAAGGCGTCGTTGCCTCTTGCTTCTAGTTCATAACTAAATCGTTGGACAAAAAGCTCGAAAGGCTAGCTAGGTAGTTCTCTCTCGCGTTAAAAAAGCCCAGATATGCAGTCATATACACCATCCTCGTCTAGGTCCGCCGCAGCGGGCTTGTGAAACGGCTTGCATGCCACCTTGCCTTAAACTACCTATGCAGTTGCTTTTTCGGCCACCCTCCGCCTTTTCTTCCCTTCGTCCTGTCCTTCTGGAAGTCTTGTTAGCAGGCTTCAGCTGGCACGTCCTCCCCCTCCCCTCCCTCCCCTCCCCCTACCCTCCCTCCTCCGTCCGT